TTAAAAAAAAAAAAAAAAAAAAATTACGAATATTATTAATATGGCGTGCGCGCGTATTTTATGGTTGGGATGAACCGCACGTCTACTCCGGATTGGCCGCCTTGTTGTCCGGACGTTTCACGAAGCTGGGTATCGCGGCCCGGTCGATCTCGTCGAAATTCTTCTTGACGAACCGGTCCAAGGAGGTGCGGTCGATCTCGTCGAAATTCTTCTTGACGAACGTGGGGAACCCGGACCGGTCGATCTGGTCGAAATTCTTCTTGACGAACGTGGGGAACCCGGACCGGTCGATCTGGTCGAAGTTCTTCTTGACGAACCGGTCGAATCCGCTGCGGTCGATCTCGTCGAAGTTCTTCTTGACGAACCCGTCGAATCCGCTGCGGTCGATCTCGTCGAAGTTCTTCTTGACGAACCGGTCGAATACGCCGCGGTCGATCTCGTCGAATTTGCGCTTTTGGCCGCCGAAAGACACTCCGCTATAAATTACACACAACAAACATATGATATTTTTTAAGTACAAATTTGGTAATATTACAAGATCACGTATGAGTACAACCTAGTAACGTGATAATATATGCGTACCTATAGACACAATTTCAGAAACGAGTAAGAATCGTATTTAGTGACTGTAGAACGTTGACATTTTAACATGGATTTAATGCAATTGTAAAAAAAAACTATTAATTTGGATGGAAATTAACCACTAAATTATTAAGGCCCTCTCTTAATAAAAACTTTTGTACACCAGCTGTTGCAGTGTACTACAGGTGAAAAGTTGAAATTTTGCTGACTAATAACTATCGTACACGGAAAGTACATAATAAAACAAATATAAACATTTTTTTTTTTTTAATTTAAGTAATTAAGGGTTATGAATCACAAAATAAACCGAACGTTTTATATATTTTTTTTTTTGTTTTGAAGTTTTCGTCGATTAAGCAAAGAAAAACTAGTAAAAATCGAAATCCGCCTAGATTTTTGTTCCAATTTTGATTTAATTAACGACTTCTCGGTTTATCCAATGATCGTCCATTAATATTAATCCTACGCAGTTCCGCCGGGAGCACTAATATGAAATTCGACAAGAATACCCTCGCAGCCGTGATGATTTTTCGCGTTTTTAACGTTCGGATGATCGCGGAGAGATATTTCGCATAACTTCCAAAATGAAATCACAATTATTATTTTAAATACCCACTAACTCGGAGGTATCACGTACAAAGTACCTATAAGTATGCAAAAAGCGGTTCGCGAATGTATTGGCAATTCCGTTGAACGTTCGCGTATATTGACGACATAATCGGTTTGGTAAAAAAAATCATAATGCCATATAATTCTGAACAATCCGGATCACGAGGATTTTCGGATATCCGAATATTATAATGCACATTATTGCATATGGCGTAAGTGAATATTCGATATCGCAGTAAATCCGACTTTTATTCCACTCCGCCCGAAAATAAATATATAGAGGCGCTTATCGTATATTCGGTTGCGCACGCATACACTTTGAATTTGACGCGGTGTTATAATGTGTAATTGGACAGGATTTACGTGAATTTGACGCAGAAAAAAAAAATTAACCTTTTTTTTTTTTTTTACACTTCGACGTGCAAATTGCGGCGGACAAAAAACAAATACGAATGTCGAAAGTTTAAAGCCTATACTTTCAATTTAGAACCTTCAACACCCTCCCCCTTTTACAGCCGCTAATGTGTCACGACCAGAATCGTTCGTATTATCGACGACGGTCGCGACCCGATGGCTTTCGGTTCGTCTACGGTTCGTGTTTGCTTATTATCGAGCCTTACAGTACAGAACATACTGTCTATATTTATACATTTATAAAAAAGCGTTAAAAGTTTTAGGTTTTGTTAGACGCAATACTCGGGAGATCAACAATACCGCTTGTAGTGAAGTGCTTTATTGTTCATTAGTACGTTCCACACCGGAATACCGTTCTGTCGTGTGGAACCCATTTACTGGTATTTGAGCGAATAAACTTGAAAGTATTCAAAACCGTATTATTTTTCAGCTCCTTAATTAGGATTGACAGTCAATGATCTTTCAATGATGTTGCTGAACAATGCGGTCTCGATCCACTATTTAAACACCGGTTATCCAATGCTGTGAACCATACGCATAGACTTATTAATAATCATATTGGTTGTTCCGAGCTACTAACTAAAATTTAATTCAATGCAACCACATTCAACCACACTCGTAGTCGTTTATTATTTCATATCGACTGCCGCCGCCAGAATTACGGTTACTACGACTCATTAAACCGTAAGTTTTTGTTTTGCAAAGATTTCACAAATTTCGATTTTTTTTTTTTTTTTTTTTTAACGAACCTCTGTGTTTGTTACATTCTTTGTCGACTAAATAATGCATACGTACATACGTTCTGTAACTGTTGCTCTAAATATTTGTTGACGTGGGGTTGTTTTTTTTTTTCGATAAAATTGATTTTCAAGCGAGTTAGGCAAATACAATTTAAAAACCATCGTGCCGCCACGCTTTGTGAAATTAAAATATCTAGAACTGAACACCAACGTTCAATCAATGGAGGCAATTTTCAATTGCGATTGGGTCCGATAAACGGCAAACGCCCTCCGGACGTTGCCGAAACTAAACAGCACGGAAATGAGCAAAGAGTGTAAATAAAACGTCGTAATTTCACGATTCGGGCGGTGTCGCCGGCGGGGCGTAATACACGACGCACGTGCGCGTATGGCAACTAGCCGTTTTTTCGCAACGGCGGTTACGGTTTGTTCTGCGGTTGTCTCGCCGTTTCGGATTGCGCGTTGACCGCTCGGCCGAATACCGGTGAAAACGGCAGGAACACGGCTGGCGCCAGTGTGCCGCTGCCGGGCGGGTGTCGCCCGCGGCGTAAAACGTACCCGCGCAAAAGTTAAATGTCTACGGGATTTCGAATTACGCGCGTCTGAAAGGGTCGCCCTGTACACGCCGCACACAGGTTCTCAAATACGGTTCGACACCGCAGACGCGCGGTAATTTTACTGCTTTACTGCTTTTTTTGTCTCTCTCTCTCTCTCTCTCTCTCTCCGCTCTATGCCGTCGCCCGATTTCTCCCACCACTATGGGCGCCGCCCGTCGGTTTACAGGTCTGTGGATATTATCGGGCAAACGATATGCGATACCGTTTCAAAGGCTTCGTACACGAAATTTTTTTTTGTTTTTTTTTTTTTATTCTTTTAAAGAATATCATACTTTCGACAAACGGACGGTAAACGCACGCGTAATTGTATAACTAGGCAGGTGTGTCATTCCGTTCAACATTAATTATTGTTATTATTTTCGTCGTCTGTTTTAAATTGTTGCGTACGTTTATTAATTATTTCCATAGGAAGAAGGAAGGTTTTTTTTTTTTTTTTTTTTTCGGTATCTTTTCATCGACATTTGTAATATTTAAACAAAACTCCAACACTGATTGCTTTTTTTTTTTTCTTTTAGATTCTGAACGTAGCGATGTATTAGTTTTACTGCAATTCGCGCCGCTTTTTTTTTCCCTTACCCCCCGTCTGCGAACATATTTTCTACCAGAAATCTTGCTCCGAACAAAAAATGACTTTAATTTCGGATCTAGTTAGTGTATTGAGATTATGAAAATATCGTTTTTGATTTTTTAAACGAATTTCATAATAACCGGGAAAAACCGGGGAGTGTATTAACGATTTAGGTTTCTCTGCTGTAATTCGGTTAATATAATAATCGTATGGCAATCGGAAATCTCCACGGAGTGCGTTTATTAGCCTTTTCTAGACGTGTACACATGTTCAAAATATTCAAGACATTTTTGAGTTATGTAAAGGTATTTGACATTTTTGAATTTTTTAATGTTTATTTGGTAGGTATTATATGGACTCCATATTATGAATATAATTATTTGCCCATAAATAATGCTTGAAAATATATCGCGAGGTTCATAAATGTTGCATTATATGATTAAAAAAAAAAAAAAAAAAATGGAGCGTAATGCATAGTAGTTTTTTTTCATAGCCGTTCAGATTTTTGTCAAAAATCGTAAAAACTACGCGGTATTCCAATACAACCGGACTCGGCTCAGAATCGTGTTTCGTTATCGATAGTTTATCATTGGATTAAATAACTTTACGTATCCTAACTTCCCGCTCTTCGCGTACATCAGCTTCTTAAAAAAAAAAAATAAAAAAAAAAAAAATTATATTGATAGTTGATATATCGATAATACCCGAAACAACTGAATGGAAATTAATATTTTTGACGTTCAAGACGGTACTTTCGAAATATTTGGTTATTATTAATACATTTTTATTTCATTACGTTATTAAAAAAAAATGAAAAAAAATAAAAAAAAACGCTCAATTTATAATTATTTACTGGCGCGGGGTCACGATATTTTCTGCGCTTAACTCGTTCAAACAAAATACTATGGCAATCGCGGGCAATTTTGAGCGAAGAAAAACCCCCGCGTAATCGCCGACGGAAAATGTTTACGGGCCGCTAACCAGAACAGAACGTATTTTTTATTTTACGTGTATGGAAAAAATAAATGTGTTCGTGACTTCTGTCCAGACTCTATATAAAGTCAGCTGACGCGAGTTTAAAATATCGACGCGCCGTCCAGCGTATTAACATGTATATAAACAAATATACACGCATGAATACCAGCGGAACATCGCGTACGCAACTATAACAACGGTAATTAAATTCCGAAAATGCAAAAAAAAAAATTAAAAAAAATTCCGACGTCCGCATATTGTATTAAATTCCGTACGGACGTTGTGGAAACGTTAACAAAACTAATTAAAACCGGACGGTTTTCGTGATTATGTTATTGAACACGAGTGGAACGTGTAAATAAACCGTAATAATACGCGTGTACATATATTTTTGTATTAACGTGACCGTTAGCGAGTTTTGAAAACCCCCCGGCCTTAATTGCCATTGACCTGCCTATTTGGTGTCTATTGCTATTCATTTTTTTTTTTTTTTAAAAAAAAAAATTTAAAAAAAAAAATTGCTAGGGCCTCGCCGGGACGAACTAGCACCGTGTGCACGACGGAGTTCGCGAAGTATGATTAACGCTTAATTACGGTAATTAGACCGCGAACGCTGTCCGCTGTCATCGAGTTTTCCGCGACGGACGTTATCCGTCAGTGCTATTGATTGATTACAGCAATATTATTATTGTTAAAGGTATCGGAGCCGACAGTTTTCACAGGGTTCCGATCGAAGTGTATTAGTCTTAGGGGGCCCGGTCTTTCAAATTTTCGCCGATTTTTGGAAAAATTTCAAATTATTTTCAACGCGCATTTCATCATATCACTTTGAAGATAAGATTTTCCAACTGATCTACTGCCACCCGATGTCCGTTCAGGGGTGGAGGGGTGGTGCCGTTTTTACCGACGGTAAACTTGTTGATAACTAACTCGTTATCAATTTAATATTTTCATAAAAAAAAAATAATAATAATATAATTTTATTGGTAAACAACAAAGTTTTACGGGCCGCATTGAACTCGGATTTTTTTAAATTCCGATCTCGAATAATTTGGTAAAATGAAATAATATTGTAAGAATAAAAAATTGACTTTTTTTTTAATAGACCCATTATAAATGTTGAGAACAAAATATTTAAAAACGGAAATAAATGCGGTCTGTAGATGGTTTCCCTCTATCAGTTAAAAAAAATAACCATCAAATTTGGTTGGTTCCACTGAAAACAGCATCGCTGTTTCCGTAGAGCGTATTTTCGTGGACAAAACGGCATTGACACCAGGCGCGTTAAAAAAAAAAAAAACCAAAAAAAACACAAATAAAGTACGGAAATATCACTGCCTACTATACTCTTCGAATTAAGCGCGTCTCCCGCAATTCAGCAAAATTCAATCGAAACGACAATAGCTGGTATAGTGCGGGCCCAAATCCAATTGTTCGGAAAACACGTTTTTGGTTGTCGGATCTCGTTTCGGAATTCGGCGTCCGAACCGAATCTCCGTCGGATCCACGACGTCGTTATTTTACCGGATTTTTCTGATCGATATTTTTCGATACGGCCGAAATCCGACAGTCCACGAATCGGGGATAGATTTTCATTACGACTGTTACCTATATGCATTTTAATCTTTAAACGTATATTCGAACGAGCGCCTACGTAATAGACCGGTTATAACCTAACGGTTTTTTTATTTCGATTGGTCTAAATGCAAAAACGTTTTGGGATAGCGTATATTTTTGCGCAGATCATCTATTTTCACCTGCGCAGTCGCATCGCCCGTCTCGTATTTTGTTTCTAAGGCATGGGAAATCGCATCATAATCATATCGTATTGCAGTAAACAAATAGATTATGCGAAAATAATGTACTGCATTACAATATACGGATAGATATACCTGAGCGTGTCGAACCGTTTGTTCTGTCCGAAACCCACGCCGTTCAACGGGTTTATCTGGCGGTTTTGTCTGGCGTAGTACTCGGCGCGGTCCCTCAACATTTCCAAGTCTCTGAGCAGATTTTCTTCTTCTGGAAAAACGAAAAACAAAAAAAAAAAAAAAAAAAAAACAAAAAACCAAATTAAAAAACGAGTCGTTTATCGGCCACGGCGGCCCAGTACATAATAATCATATTGCTCTGCGTAAGTATCGGTGCGTGCGTGCGCGTGTGTCGGACGGGATTTTTTTCGCGACGTACTCGAAAACTAGTCGGGAGATTGAGAGAATAAAAAATATTCGAACCGAGAGACGAATAATACGGTACGGTACATCCGTGTACGAGCTGAAGGGCGACGGGTAATAGGATCATAGTAATAATAATAACAGGATGGATAGGACGAATATATAATGGTCTTAAAGATCTTATTATAATATTCGATGCGGCCACGAGCGGATGTTTTTTTTTTTACGTTTAAACGACAATAAACGTATATCCACTCGACCTGCGCCGGAATATAAAACGACGCGACTAAACGTCTCGCACGGAATAAAACCGAACAGATACCACACTGTTCTTCCCTATCACTGGTACAATAACAGGTACTTAGGCGCCGAAAGTCAGCTGCAGCAGTCCCGAAAACCCCGAAAAATCGTAATCTCACTTCTCGCCGACCTTCGCGAAAACCTGCCCGACCGCGAAAACGACCGCGGACCCAATAGTAGAGCACGGGAACAGTTCTAATTCAAGGTGCCCGGATGTCTGGAATTATCTAACCTGCATTAGACTACAGTGTGCACCGCGTACGTACTCAACCTTTTTCAGCCCCCTCCTCCTCTCACCAAACAATTGTAGATTCAAAATAGAGCGAGGAACGTGTCGGTTTCACAATGACGTTTAAATTTTTATTTTATTCGTCTGTGAACAACTTTTCCATCAACTATTTTGCTCCGGTTTAAAATGATAGCACTAAAAGGAAATCGGAATGTTTGAGAATCACCGGTTCAGAAAGATCCATTTTTTGACTTCCCCAGCTGTTTCATAATAAATGGTAAAAACCGGGAAAAAACGTAGGAAAAACGGGAAAATAGGTACAATATCAAAAAAAAAAAATGTTATTAATGCAAATATATAACGCATAATATGAAATTATTTTACCATAGTAAGACATATATATTATTATTGTCGTTGTCAACAAAGCAACACTATTAACCGAACTTCGCCCGGAATCGTTTTTCATTAGCAACGGTCAATCGTCGCGTACAGATATATACATAATATGTGCATTAAATTTCCCCTCTGCCTTCCCAACTTCTCTCGCCTACAACAGTGGTCCACCCACGCGTGAAGTGTGTCCGTCTTTTTGCGTTTGATACTATTTTTTCACCGTTCGAACCTTTCCTAACATCGTCCGCTACCGACCCCCGGCACCCCGGGAACCCCGATTCGAAACCGGGTCCTTTTTGTTCTGCCCGCCGACACTTCGTCGAATGCCACGAAAAACGCGCGAGAAATATTATTAATTTTACCGGCGCGTGCGGTCGAAAATTCGGCAAATTATAAATGCGCCCGTCCACAGGTGTAATGCGGGCACCACTCGAGACTGACGGAACCTGTAATGTGGAACCTATACGTGGATTTTAAAATTCTACGGGTGGTGTGGGGAAGAGGGGAAACTTAACCGCGCAGAGTGGTAGCGACCGGACTTGTCGGACTCGTTTTATTATTTATTTTATTATTTTTTTCTGTTTCGTTTTTAACCGTTATTATATGTATATTAAACGGAAAGTACGGGGACAGTTTTCGCGCGTTTTTGCAAAAGTCCGAACGAATCCGGACGGTAAGCCCCCGCGTCCGAGGCTTATAAATGGTCTCGAGCGGCCCCGGGCCGTATTAATTTGGCGCGGTCGTCCCCGTTGAAATATTTAAATACCTATTAAACTCGTCTAAAATACCGCGTGAACTAAAAAAAAAAAAAAGAGAGTTTTGTGTACACTCGCGCGAACCGATAATCGCGCGAGTCGAGTGCCGCGGGCAATCGCGTGAACGTTTCGCGTTCCGGGCACGACGACGTTATGTTAGGTTAGGTGATTAGGTTAAACTGGATTCGTTAGATTCGGTTGTATCGAATCCGTTTTATTCAAAACACCGGCCCAGGCCCAATATTGTAACAACGTTAAGCGTTCCATTAACGCGAAAAACCATTCTCTTTTTCTTAATTCCCCGATCAAAACTGTCGTGCCCATCGCTTGCACACTTGTAATGTTGCCCGTTTTGACGTTATAACATAAAACGAACAACTCTGTGTCCGGGTTTCCGAGGACTGTCTCGTCTCCGGCCCAACCCCCCACGTCGTTCTCTGCCACGGCAGATTTTTCTTCCCGCGGTCCCGACCTCCGGCGTCGAGCGATTCCACGTCCGATTTTATCGTATATTTTTCCGTTTCGTCCTACGGAGTAGGTAATTTCCCAAGCGGATTTTGATTCCTGCAAAACACGTCCCACTCGCACGGACATAAGGTCTCTAGCCCTGCACTGTTTCTCCTCCGCCGTCCACTGTATTGTATTTATCCTCGGATGGAGTTTATCCGAGCTCTTTTATAAATCCCGACGGCCGCGGCGCGCCTTTCAATTAGCGTATTACTAAAATATGGATCGCGAACGATTAAATACCGAGTTACAGCAGCAAGTACGAAAGTTCCGGATAGTTTGACAGGTAACGTGATTATCATCGCGTTCATCGTCGTAATAATACAGCCGATAAAGTTCGTGTAAAGTTACGGATTCGTACGTCTAGAACTGCTATAACGCCGAAACCGCCACGTAACGGTACATTACGGAGGTTCAATATCAATTGAATGGTCCGACGTCGTTAGGCAAATGAGTTTTTTAAAATTAAAACACCATGTCGGTAACCCAGTCGGGGAAAAAAAACGTTTCGAATAAAGTATCGCACCCGCAGGTACAGGAAACCCTCGCGTTTTAACGTAAAAGTTTCGGAGGATTTTCGCTAACCCAAAAACCATTGAAAAAACATTACCCACGGATATTTGTAAATGCGTCCGTCGCCGTCGTTCCGTTCGAAATCTAAAACCCCGACCCACTCTGCGGGTTCGCTTCACGCGTCGTTTATAATATACACACGGGATCCCTCGTCCCGTAAACGCGTTTTTTTTTTTTTTTTGTCGCTAAACGAACGTTTTTCGTCAGTCAGATAATGCACGCGCGTATTACACTTACGCTCGTAAATCAAACTGGCGTCCAAACGTAATACACGTTAAACGTTAAGCCACCGCGCCCGTCCTCGGAACGTTTTTCTCATCCTCCGCACGTGTGCATCGACCGGCGGCGGCGGCGGCGGCGGTTATCGGCGTTAATCAGCGTGAGTGGAGTAATTTTTCCGGTCGCGTGTTCAATTAATACCCGAATGCACTACGCCGACCGCCGGCTGTAATGGTGTACACTGTCCGACGGTGTTTGGCGCCGTAAAATTATCGTGCCGGGCGAATTCCGCGCACAAATACGACGCGCGTTTTTTATATCGCGCATATTTTAAACGTTACGCGAACGTCGGCCGTATTATTAACGATTACTCGGTGAAATTAAAAAAAAAAAACGATCGTTTTTAACGTAGGTATACGTGTATATATTGATATTATCCCGTAAAAAAATATTGTTCGTTTTTATACGTATTCCGGTTTGTTCTCCCATCGGACCGATATCATACCGTTCGTTTGACAACAACAACAATAATAATAACTATTCCCGGCACAATTTTATTGTAATTTCATAAAAAAAAAATATATATGTATATATACACGTAAAACGCGACCGCGATAGCGAAATAATACTAATAAACCGATTGAACAAATAATAATTGCGGTAGAATACCGGCCGTGTCATTGTTATCGCGTTACTGTGAAATGCACATTAATTACGTTAATGGTAAAGAGTTCGGTGTCGGTGAAAAATGTATCCCGTTCAAATATTGTAAAACGCTGTAGGCCAGTGACCGAGGACCTATACACGTGCTTAAGCGGGTAGGTAGCGCGAGAAACGACCGCGGGAATTTAGTCTTTGGATAAAAAAAAAAAATAAAAATAACCCCGCGCGAGTTTTCGCAAAGGATAACGGGGGCGCCGTTGCCGTAGGTACGCATCAACACTAATCTAAATGTCAGTGCGACAATTATACTGTTACGCCGTTGCGCCGGTAATATGGACACTCCCCCACAAATAATGTTAAATTCGGATTCGACGGTTACTATTGACATTCGATATCACGCGCGGGCGTTGATTTTCGCGAAGACCAAACACCCGGGGTTATTTAACAGGCAAATCGAACGAGAATTGAAAATTCGTTAGACCCCGAGATCGATTTCTTTTCGTGTCCGGAACCCCGTTAAATGGAATGGTCCGATTTTCGAGAACGACCACGTTTCCCGTGTCCCGAACACACGCAAACGCGGCGCGTGTAATTTTTTAAATGCAAACGACGTTAATCGTTTTAAAAACGATAATAAATAATTGTGCGTACAAACCGGGTCCGTCGGATTCGCCGAGACTGTATTGCATGCTGCCTCGACGGTATCCAATCCAAGTGCTGCGTCCGTGGCCGCGTCGTCTGCGTGCGCCGACCGCGGGTGACCGTGTATTCCGGAGTTTACGCGGATCCGGGGGGGGGAGGGGCGCGGGGAACGAGGTGGCTGGATTCGAACGGTCGAGACGCAGGCGCGTAGCTGATCGGGGGTGGGGGGGGGGTTATTCGTTTAAAAACCGATAGCGGAACGGAAAAAAAAAACGCGCGTTTTCCGACACTGACACCGCGCGAAACCGGCATCTTCCCAGCGATCCCGTCCCAAGACCGAATCGATAGAAGGACCGCCCGGGATGCCCCGCGCGTACGGCGTTGTACTGTTGTACAACGGCGCGCGCGAAACTCCGGCGTTTCCGTCGGGGAAACGTTTCGCCCGCGGCGGAGCACGTCCCGGACGGAAACGATGCGTTTTAGATTTTCGCCGGCGCGTCGAGTTTCGCGCGGTCCGCGTTTAGGCGTCCGGACACCCGGTACAATGGACGGGCTGTAAACGCGCGGCGTTCGTGCGCATTTAAACGAACGGTGGGGGCGGCGGCGGGCGGGAGGGTTTACCGAGAGCCGTATCCGATCCGACCGCTCGGCCGTTTCCCGCGTCGGACATTTGTACACGGTCACCACCGGACGACCGTCACGTGTAAACGGCCTAAAAGCAATACTGTTCGAGTGTCGTGCACAACATGCGGTTCGGGCGTCGCGGCGATATGCGCGTGAAACCACAACTTACACCGGGTAACGGGGTCGGCGCGCGTGATTGCACGCGTTACAAATAATGTGCTACGATAACGGCACAGTAATACTCACCGCGTCACCGGCGATCGTGTTTCGACACCTTTATTTGGGACTCGGAGCGTCCCATGATGTTTATTTTTTTTTCGACTTTTCTCCTCGAAATCTTACTCCGGTTCTCGGGGGTATTACCTGTACTGAAAGGAACTTTTATCCGGGGCGGTGCTCGCCGGATGGTTATTTTTGCGGTTTTCATAAAAACTGGGGAAGAACGTAAGGGCAAACGGGAAAACGTACGTACGCGTAATATGGCGCGTGTAAAAGGAACCGCAGCGTTCCGAATCGTTTTCCGTCAGCGATTGTTCATCGCTGCGGCGTACACTGCAGACGCGAATTAAATTCCTCTCGTTGTCCTACGCCCTTCCAAATTTTCACCTACGTCACCGGCCCACCCGTCGTGCGGAGTATGTCAGTTTTCCCCCTCGCTTTATACTCGGCCGAACTCGGGAGGTGTGGGGGGCGCATTAGCATCGTTTGCTCCCGAATATTCTGACGCCTGTCGCGTCGATATCAGTACACCGTAAACTTTATAACGATATGCCGTCGGATCGCGCGGACAAACGGAAACTCCGCAGTGACGTTGCGCGCTGCCGACGGATGGATGCGTTTGCTTTGTTAATAATTGAACGGCGTGCCGACGGGGGAAAAAAAATAACTTTCCGCGTGGTCGCCACTTCGCCACTGCGTCCCCTGTATCCTCTTTGTCCGCCCCGTCAAAAAAACGTTCGCCACTATGGTTTAATACCGACGCAACAGCGCCGCCGATGTGCCCGGCGACTGAAATAAAAGTCCTCGGGATTGCCGTCACGCTGAACATCGGTTTAAGCCCGGAATGATCCGTTATCAGTGTGCGGGACGGCGAAAATTCAGCGGCCTGGCCCGGGCGGCCTATTTAGAAAACCCGGGACGCCACAGATCGCCACTTCTATGTGTTCTCGTTTTATTTTTTTTTTTCATTTCGCGCGGTTTTCGTAATCCTAGTGGGTTTTTTTCGCGGGTAACTAACTGCGTTCACTCGGACCCTTTTTAAAACGGGGTGGGGAGGGGGTGGAGGTCGGGTAAACGCCGATTTGTTCTATAAATAACCATGTGGATAGGAGAAAAACAAAACATGCATTTTAAACGTGCGCCTAGAGACCCGGGCGGTATGACGAAGCCCAGGCGAAAGTCGATCGAAAACTTAATGAAGTTTGAAACGGATACCGATGACGACGCAATATCCTACACAGAAACCGTTCTGCGGCCTCTCGGGTTTCTTGATATTACGCGTCCGGCCGACGGTCCCGGCAGTGGCGCGGCGACCCTCGATTTCCAGAAGCGATTGCATCCGAATTCTATAGCGTGGACGGGCCATTTTTTTGTGAAACCTAAACGGTCGGGTAGGACACGCTGCCATAAACGTACGTGTATTGCGAATTGTTCGATTGTGGCAGAAAAAAAAAAAACGATTCGCTTCTATAATGTTATTTAAAGCCCGTGACGATACTAACGACGGTCCGTCCGGATCGTGTTTGTTATTTGTCCGGCGACCGAGCCGCAGGCGATTTCGCGATTTACATTGGTGACGAGAAACAATACTGTTTTACCGCACGACGAGACCGGGCACTTAGTCAGGACTTTTTTTTTTTTCGTAGGGGAGGCAGGGCTTGAAATCGTTTTCAAAATCATTTTAGAATATCGATAAAAAAAAAAAAACCTTAAAAATCTTTTGAAAAATCGATTTTTATATTAAAATCAGTAAAAATCAATATCGATAAACGTTATTAAAATTGAAATCGGTAGTTTTCATTTTCGATTTCAATTTTCAAGCTCTGCTAATTAGTAATATTGTTATTCTTGATCATGAACACTAGAGTTGTTCTCTAGTGTTCGTGTTTTTCATGTTCAAATATTAAATCATCGCGTTATAATTCGATAAGGATAAAATACTTACACTGATAAAGTGATAACTGAGCGAGTGGGCCATGTCCATGGTCCATAGATAATGAAATACTTTTATGCAACGCGAAACGTTCAGTAATCAACCGTAATTTTACAGAACAGATAGATCATGGAACCAATAGTTTACAGAACGGTTTTTATGCAACCCGGCATTGTATAATAGTGATAATTCAAATTCGCTGTCCCGGTGTTATTAAAATTTTATATTTGTAGGTACCTAGATGAACCCGGTATGCTGATGTTAGCTAAATTGAAATCAAAATCACTGACCACTAATATCGATAAGCGAAATTTAAATTTGAAATCGAAAACATTGATTTCGATCTCAAGCCCCGGTGGGAGAGGGGGAGTGGGGCCCAAACGTACAATTTATCACCGACCCGCCGACAATTGTACCGATAATCTGATTTTTCGGCGGCCGAAAACGAAATTCGACGCGACGACATATCAGAACGCGAAAACGCGAGAACACGCGCGCCGAATTCGATCGGCAACAAATACGCGAGTCCGGCGGACGTGGGATCGCGGGACGGGTCTCGAGGAAATGATTACATTTATAATGTGACCGTTGTAAGAATGCCGCGTCGGGGCGGTCGGGTTCGGCTCTTTTGTGCCGCGGACCGGCGATTTTCTCGGAGGGTTTTTTTTTTTTTTTTTACGAGCTTCCTTATTTTATCTGTGAAGTCATCAGATTGGATTCGCGACCGAAAGACTTAAGGGATTGCTCATTTCGGGTACGAGGTGTATTTGATGTATTATAGGAGTACACAATTGAAAACGGCGCTGAAATAAAGCTTATACGATTCTATAGAAGCGATTGAGAAAAAAAAAAACCGTAAATCAAATTCGCTTAAAACCCTCCGTGGAAATCGCCGGTTCTCGAGAAAACAATCGCCCTACATTCTTTTCACATTATCGAGACAACCGGAAAAAAAAATACCGAGTCAATCGGTTGGGCTAGGTGCGGACGATCGACGTTGTTCGATCGTTCGAGTCCTGCGATTATTTTACTGTAAATTTTTGACTCTGAACGGCCGGGAATTGCCGTTGTTGGCGCGCCAGGGACGCAAGTCTACAGGATGTGAGTTTCCGACCGAGTTCGGTGCATCGAGCAAGTTTTTTTTTCTCCCCACGAGTTTTCTCGACGGAAATTTAAGAAGCCGACGTTTTACACAATAACGGGGTTCGTGTTATTACCGTAGATTGTATATTACGCATGACAATGTGTACGGGTGCTTGTAAAAAATATTCGAAAAATCGCCCTTAAAAACGTTGTTGATCGTCCGACACGCATGTTCCGACTCTTTTCGCAGGTCCGTGTCGTTAGCCGCGCGATCGTTTCGATATTTTCGAACAATATTTGGCCGAAATGCTTGTAATTTTGTTCGTTTCGTCTTTCAACGACAATGTTATTTATTCACCGTATTGAGATTTCGCGTCGCGTTTGAGAAGAATCCTCGATATTCCACGTGTGCCGTGTCGATTACGAGTACGATTAGATTATGCGATTCGCGAAGGCGCCCCACCCACGGGGTATTTTTCAGACGGGGGACAAAACGAAACAAGATTCCTAAACGTATTTATGGCGTATAGACACTCCAGGATGGCATTTCTTGAACGAGAAACGACGGAGAAAGGGTATGCAATCATGTAAATATCAGATTATACACGGTGATAAGCAAGGGTCTATGTTATGGTTATCATCAACGGTGTAAAGAATATAATAACAATTATTTTCACGGATTCAGATTTATTATTTTCTAGGGTGGGGGCATGTTCATCTCTTGTGCCCCCCTCCCCCAATGGGCGCTCGTGTATCAACGTAAAACGCCCGTAAATTATTATAAAAAAAAAAATAAAAAAAAATAAAAAATAAATGAAAACATTTTTTCCGGTTCTCTCTGGGGGGGGGAAAAAAAAACGAAGTTTTTCTTGCTTTTAAATGTCACGAAATCACTATAATTCCCTTAATACAGTCTCTACAAAACACAAAACTATAATTACTGTAACACGGTATCCGGTCAAATAATAATAACAACTACTTGTAAGTTTTTGAATTTTTGTACGGTCGGTAAATACGCGACGACGACAGTGGCGGCAGGGATGTTTAAAACGACGACTCTGCCGGCGATACGCAGTCGAGGCAATCGACGTAATCGGATTCCGTGACTTCGATCCACCGGTATCCGGGTGGCTGGCGGCCCGCGGACGGACCGTCGCCGGGACGGACGAAGGCCAACAGGCCGCCCAAGCCGCCGAGTCTGCCGACCGTTAAGCCGGACTTGTCGCCCAGCGGCGCGGACGGACGGCCGCCGTCGCGTTTCGCTCCTATGACGTGGCCGCCGTCCAGCCGGTCCAGACTGCTGTCGCGTTTCGTTTCCATGACGTGGCCGCCGCCCAGACGGTCCAGACTGCTGTCCCGTTTGGCTTCCATGACGTGGCCACCGCCCAAACGGTCCAGACTGCTGTCGCGTTTCGTTCCCATGACGCGACCGCCGCCCAGTCGGTCCAAACTGCTGTCCCGTTTGGCTTCCATGACGTGGCCGCCGCCCAGCCGGTCCAGACTGTTGTCTCGTTTGGCTTCCATAACGTAGTCGCCCAACCGGTCTAGGTTGCTATCCCATTTGGCTTCTATGATGTGGCCGCCGTCCAGTCGGTTCAGACTGCTGGCCCGTTTGACGGCCGCGAACGGCGGACTCGCACCGCCGCTGCCGCAACTGATGTCGTCGTCGTCGTCGCAATTGTCTGTAAAACTGATGAAACCGCCTAGTCGGTCCAGGCTGTCGTCCCGTTTAGTTCTCATAACGTGACCGCCGCCCAACCGGTCCAGGCTGCTGTCCTGTTTGGTCGTCGTGACGTGGCCGTCGGTCTTCCCGTATAAGCCGTCCCACTCGGATACCGCTGCAAACGTACAGTGAGTCCCGGCGCGCAAATATAACGAGCCCGGCCCGTACTCAGCTCCGACCGCATGTCGAATCGCTGCAGTGATCGCGCGGAGGGGAGGGTAATAGGGATGGTGGGGATCGGGAGATTTCGATGTTGGCTGCGCGACGGCGAAAAATCAGTCGGCGGTCGTGTTTTTCACTTAAATTTGAAATGTATAATAATAGTTGTACACGTATGTTACTCAATTTACGAACGAAATTTTCGAATCTAATCGATTTTTCGATCAATCGTCTGACGCCACGACTTGCTACTCGTACGTCGCGTAAACGTTCGAGTCGCTGTTGACGTGATAGTGTCGCTTAACAGCGTGTTCCGGCAAACAGACGGAGCAAAATACCGACGATACTCGCGACACGTGGACAATGTACGATTCTCAACATTTAGATTTTTGAGATTTTCCGCCCGCCGACTGAACGTCTATGAAATTGTAAAAAAAAAAAAAAATCGCAAACGAAAATTTCAGACCCTGCGCGAGCGCTGCAAACGTCGTCCGTACCTGCAGTTTGTAATGTACGTAATTCCACGGAGAACGGGAAATTCGAGCTTACCGACGATTTTGTTAACCGACGACCGCGTGAATCGCGTGTGTCTGTGGTTCTGTGTTTGTGTGTGTGTGTGTGTGTGTGTGTAGGTGGACGGGTGTGTAAAACCGCGGTAACTGTGGCAGCTCTACGCCCGTCTATACTCTCGGGATATAATAATAATAGTATAATAACATTATTATCATTATTATTATTATTATACCCTGGTGCGGTTTCGGTGTACAAAACCGTTTTGCGGTGTACTTCGTCTCGTCCGTCGTCCCCCTCGTATTCTGCGAATCGCACCGAAAATCGTTTTCCTTAAATAATATAACGCGCTCCGACTATAATACTATAGGTGCATATATATGTAGGTATATTATATTATAATAACGGGAAAAATTGGGACCTATTGTGTATTTATTTTTCGTTCGCACCCCGGTTATGTATTTTTTTTTTTTTTTATTATTATTATTATTATTATACAGCTCACTATCGTAAACTATATTATTGTCCCGAACGAATTATTATTATTCCTCCGATGTTTTAATATAAATACCGGAAAGACCCCCACCGTCGTTCCGTCTCGTCGAAATAAATAAAAATAATAATAATATAAAAAATATTATTATTGACGAGAGGCGAGTGATTCCGATCGTTTGGCCGTTTCGAGCGCATATTTTCGGGATTTTTTCGTATATACGCGAGGAGAAATAATTTTGTTAGTTAATGACGGTATTCGAATCGCTACGACTGAAGATTGCTGGTGGCAAAGAGTGTTTTTTGCCCCTCGATCAGGTTGGTACAGGTCATAGACCGTAGGTTAATCGAGATGTACGACCTCGAGGGGGGGAGGGGACATTTGCCCGGGTCGCATATATTTTGAAAAAAAATTCGCGATTATTATAGTTCGACGTGATTTTTCTGATTATATTAATGGGATTGTCCACGGACATATTATGCTCGAACGCGCGCAAAACGTCACAATTTAAAAGGCCCAAAAATTCTAAAACTATAATTATGGCGCGATCATTATGAATTTCGAATTTACAAAACGAATATTTTAAGACAGATAGAAATAGCGGAGGGCGAAAAACAAGCACGAAATCGTACACAAATATTATAAGGTGGAAAAGTGCGTCACCGCGAAGCCGCGACCTAATCGGTTTTTTTCGAAATTGATACAGTCATTTAATAACCAATTCGTAACCATTCGTAACCGCAAATTCGTAAATGCCAAAAATAACAAAAATATCTGCACGACTGTAGAAGCGCCCTTGAGTTTAAACTGAAAACTAATAACAACCAATTATTACTGGTTTGTTCGTAAGGTCGGTGACGTTAACAAGTGTACACAGGTTGACGTTTTCTGGACACCAAGAATAATAAACACAAAATATGTTCTTCACGCCACTGCACCAGGCAATAAGTATTGTGTTTTTTAGTATTTCGATGGAGTAGGTTATTACAATAATGTCGATCAATCCGTTTAAAAGTCTAACGGGAACCGTTTTGTAAAAACAAAAAAAAAGAAGCAAAACCGACGTTTTTGAATGAAAACGTTTCGCCGAAAATTAATACAATTTCAATGGGATTTTGTCGTAATAGCGTTCGACGTCTTCGGGACGACGCGATGACGCACAAAATTTCGGATGTCTGAGTGCTATACACGCGCATTTCGAAAACATTTTAGCTCTTTTCTATCGAAGCTACAAATCAAATCAAGTAAAAATCAATCTTTTTCACCGTCGTCTAACACGTGGCTAATGTAATTATCGTTAAATCAATAATCGGTCGCGCAACGAACTCGGCGCTTTTTAAAAAGTTTTTTCTCTTTGGTTTTCTGCGGGAGTTTTTTTATTTTTAAAATTATTTTTTTCGCTAAAAAACGGAGTACGATTTGTGTACGATTGTTTTGCCGCGCGATTGTAACCCCAAAATCGAATACGCGGACGGTCGCACCGGCGAAAAGAGCAAACATAAAAAATACGATTTTATCACGTCATTCGCGGCGGCGGCTGCGGACCGCGAGATCTGGGCCGTCGCGCTGCGGGTGTCTGCGGTCGGCCCCCCGGCACTTTACCGACGTGCATAAATCATAAGGTCGACTCGGTCGGCGGGAGACCGGCGCCGCAGCCGGATAATAAGTCTCGATCGAAACGAATATCTGCCGGTGCAGACGGACACGTCGTAACGAATCGTTGTGCGGGATGGGTACGTGCGAAAACGGCAACGACGTGTGCGGTTCGGCAAACGGAACGCGCGAAATCGATTTACGATTATCAGCGAGGGGTGGTGAAAAAAATTACCGTCCGACCCAGGCCGCGCGTACGTCTACAAAATGCTCGGCCCCGGTATATCGCGAACGGACACGAAAACGGAACGCCTACGCGTCCCCCGAGACACCCGCGGTAAGCGGCGACGAATCGCGTCGGGTCGGAGTGCGGACAAGACTTTGGCGGACTTTCGCCGGACTAGGCGGTCGGGACGGAGACAAACGACGTGAAGAATATGCCCGCGTCTCCGAGACGGGCGGCTCGATAGTGTCGAGTGGCGTTAATAAGGGGCCAGCATAATATTATAGAGGCGCGGCAATTTCGCATATTGTCGGTCGCCCGTGCCGGAGACATATCGATTACAGGTGTACGTGGGTACACCGGTGTACGCTGTTTATAACGAATGCCGGACCGATAGTGAATTTCCAAAAAAAAAAAAAAAAACCGTCTCAAAGAAACTCGTCTGAAATCGCGTTCCGTTCGTGTGACCGTTACGGAATCCAGAATAACAAAGTCCGAAATTCAAGTGTTGAACACAGAAATTGAAATTGTCAAATCCGGTTTCGAAACGTTAGCGCCGGACTGCCGCCGTCTACGGGTTCGGAATTTTCAATCCTTCTTGTCCACCGGGTGGGGGAAGAAACCTTTACCGCCTTAGCCCTCCCTCGGGTCGCTGTCCGTCTCTATATTATGTCCGTCTAGGATCACCACGAGTATATATTCCGCAATTTCGGTAAAACGTATTTCGTTCCGGTCCGTTTTACACGGCGGCGGCGGCGACCGCTGCGTCGAAATCTGTAACTTCCGGGGTTTCGCCGAAGGGAATAAAAGGATTATTAACGGGTATAGTGCCCGTTCGAATAAACGCCACAGATTGTGTTCAACGGATAAATACACGGTCAAGACCAATAATACCGCACAAAGGGAATATAATTACACTAATATCTAACCTGCACCGCGGTTAATCCGCGATTCCGGAAGAGAAACCGGAAGTATCTCTGCAGACCGCGTCTGCACCGTCGTCGCGGTAAAATTACCAGAGCAAGAATATTATAATTTACAATATTGTTGTTGTTATTGTATCACGTCCATTACTTTGTGCAAGGCAGTTCAACCTATAAAATATGATTTCTACGAAATGATTTTCGGTGGCGCGTATACGAGGGGCGGGCTATGGTGAATATCCACCACCCCTCGTTATCTATTTTTTAGCAATTTTTTATTTTGACGATGGGGGAAAAATGGAGGTTAACGGCGGATCTCGTTTCTCCGGGAAAAACGTATCGTTTCAAAATTCTATCGATTTCCCCTCCTCCCCCTCCCCCTCGACGTTTCCAGCATTTCGATCCGAACGTTTATAATCTATATATTGCAAATTACTACCGGAACGCAAAAGCGGGACATTCCGGCCGATACAATAATATTATTATAAAGATAGCGTATATATATATGTATAATATATAGGGTGTACTACAAGCCAGTGTAATGTTTGATAACAGCGCTCGACTGCTGTGGTGACGCGGCGGTCGCTGTTGGCGGACATGCAATTCGTGCGTTGACTGCGTACGGGCATAAAAACAATAATATTATAATATTTACAACGATACGTGCACTCGTACAGCGGCGGATCCAGACATTTTTTGAAAGGGGCAGCACATTATACCAGTAAATTAACTATACATTAAATGTTAAATTAACATAAAATACATAAATAAAAACTGTAGTCCATTTACAGGGGGGCACGTGCCCCTATACTCCCTGGATCCGCCACTGCACTCGTACGCGGTACTATCAGTGCGTTTGTATACGCGAATCGAGTCCCCGAAACCCCCTCGAAAAAACCTCCAGCAAACATGATATACAGAAAAACCTCCTTATAATGAGCCCCCTATTATAAGACGGAAATCCCCTTAAAACGGAAAACAACGACAGTTCTGCATGGCCTGTACTCGTATATTTTAGTCTAGCTATAACGGAATCCTTCTTAAAATCAGTTTAAGGAGTGTCAGTATATAAGGACGTTTTACTGTACTTAATATCGAAAATCCTATACAGGATCCATCGTAGCCGGCGAAAGTGCTCGAGAAAATTAAATACGACGAGTCCCTTTAATAAAGTTTGTAATTTTTTTTTTGTTTTTTGTTAATGTATACATTTTTTAATCGTCGTAGAATTAAATATTCATGTTAATCCGACGCACGCGAGGACATTTTTGAATTAAACATTCTTAACCGAAACCTACGCATCAATTAATTGTCGGTAGTTTGCATCGGCGGAGAATTGTCGGACGACCGAATTCTGTTATTACGATTTTAGATTAAATGCTTTCGCGTATGGCTGGAAAAAACGTGGCTAAATTGTTTTTATTCACTGGGAAACATCTCCGTGTGGCCGTTGCATTTAAAAAACGAATCAGTGCGAACGCGGTGAGAGTCAAAAATTTACCGGTAAAATATATTATCATGTCGTCAGTAATAGTCGGGATTCAACTATAGTCTCGTAAACTGACGTATACGGTGGTTTGTTTTTTTTAAATCTATTTTTGCCCCCCGCGGGGTTAGGGGATTCGATTTGAATGCACCGGGTACGATAAATTCATTGGTAAATTATTGTTACCATAATACAAAAAATCGTTACGTTTTTATTAACGAGCGTTAAACGTGCAAGTGCAAATATTATTATTACGGCAGCGGCGTACATAGCTTCGGTACTCACCCATAAAACGGTCCAATTCCCTGGAAGGCGAGTTTCGGAGCCCGTTACGGAAGTAGTTGTCCTCTCCGGAAACGTGATCAATCTGATTAGATATGGCAATGAAAACAAAAAAAAAAAAATAATAATAACATTTAAAAAACATTAGTACGGTCATAATATTCTAACCGATTAATTAACCAAATTAACATTGGTAGTTACCGTTAACGGTTATGGTACCTATGCGCGAGTAAAACGGACCGTTTTTATTGTTATTGTCGTGGCGATAAAACCGCGGCCGTCGTCGCAACAAACACGAAATATCAAATAACGAAATTAAAATTAAATTATTAACGAAACGGTTTCATCGTAATACTCTATTGTCGCGAAAAACGGCACCTGTGCATTTATTTTCGCGATATTTTTTTTTCTGAAAATGTGCGTATGATAAGCAGGCGATATTATCACCCTGATTATATCAACTGTTTCGTTTTCTCCAAGAAAAAAACCATTGTTCGTTTTACTACTGCGTTGATCACTTATATTTGACCCGTAAAATTATTATTAATGACCTAGGAGTTAACTTTGATTCTAAACTCTCATTTAAAAATCATGTTGATCGGTTAAATAACAAATCATTTATGAAATTAGGATTGATAAAACGTGTGCGCAGGGCCCTTGAAGTTAGAATTTTAGTCGAGATACGACGAGAAAAGAAAATTCGCAAACGAAAATTACTGATTACAAAGAAATATATTATTGAGACGACAAAGAATTAATTCGCGTTTCAATAAAATCGCGTTCGACGGCGTAACCCGCAGAAAGAAATGCCGGTTTATTTTTACGAACATTTCGAATTCTCATCCGTAAATAATTACGGCGATATTTCGAAAATCTATTATTTTATTACATTTTTAAACTGTACATCATTGTATACGCAACAAATAATAATAATAATAATGAATGATATTGTGTACTTTTCAAATACTTCATCAAAAGTACAAATGGTCGTTGTCGAACGAAAAATAGAAGCAAGTCACATTTCCAATATGAATCGCGTACGGACGTAAATATAATTCAACACGATAGAAATATATAAAATCAAATCATTATTTTTCAGTAACCTAAAAACCCGACGCACGCGATATTATTGTTATTGTCATTTTTTTGTTTGTATTTTTTTTTTTTGACCGTACACATCGTGTCGATCTTTTCTGTGTGCAGTGCACTCATCGTCTCGATGCACGTGTTCCAAAGCATTTATATTGTCGTCACGCGCCATTTTTACTTTTCTTGCCCGTTCAGATTAGGCACGACTAGGTAGGTACGCGTCTTATCGCCGACGACTTCGTTTCGAAATCGTTTCCTCTCGAAAAAAAAAAAACCGAAATGACATACTTCGCACGATGGACGGGCTACTGTTGTAGGTGAGAAGTTGCGGGAAGGTATGGGGGAAATTTAATCTATATCTGTTCGCGACGAACGACTATTGCTGACGAAAAACGATTGTGAGCGGAGAGCGCGAAACCGCCAACGGAACGGGAACAAAATGGTAAACGTATAGTTGTAAATGCTTATACTTAGGAGCGGAGAAGGTATTTCTCTAACGCCGGAGGATTACACTAGACAACTATGTATTATTGTAATTTTATTATTCTCAATCGCCCGTATGCGCATAGTAAATCTGTATTCCAGCAAAAGCGTCTGTGAAACATCGCGAATATTAACACCCGCGCGCTCGCGTTTTACAAACGTCGTATTTTCGGCGTTTCTATTGATGTCGTAACGTTCAAATTATTATTGTTCGCGACATTATTAAAGAATGTAGGTATATACGAGCGGGTACGCTTTCTTATTACTTATTAATATACTTATATAGGCACTACGAGCATACATGGAAATATGCTCCACTGAACATTTTAATAACTTCTCGCGCATAGCCCGTCAAAACGAACATAACAGTACCCGTACTTGTAAGTATTTTTGTAAAAAAGAAATATTGTTCGAAATGGTTTACTTGCACCGGCGAAACGGATCTATATTAAAATATATATATATATATATATATATTTATGTATATATTTTGGTTTATTTTTTATTTTTGAATTCTTCGCCATACATCAAAAGAATCCATATTATATTTTTTTTTTCCCTCGTTCGTCATAAACGTACAAAACATATGGCGGCTAAATAATCAAGAGACGACGATGCGAATAGTATTTCATTTATTTGCTGTGCGCGAATATTATTATTTACAACATTTAACGTATGCATTGAAACTTCATGGAAACGAAACTCAGCTGGTACCGACCACGGATAATGTCTCGTCTATGGCACTTGCAGTTTATCACCGCAATTCTGTACCGGACACATACCAAAACCTATTAGTTCGCGGCGCTTGGTATACATTATACAATGCTGGTGAACTGATAAAATCACTACCGCGTGACACCTAAGTATCTCGAAAATTGCCGTCGTACTTGTTATTTAGCCACGATAAAAAGTATTCGAATAAAAATTGATTATTCAATGTCTGCGTTGTCATAAAAAAAAAAAACGGTTACCAATTGACTAGGGTCGCTGAAAACATAAAATATCGGCGGTATATAACATATATAATTAAGGGTTTAGCTAATAATTCGAAAATTAATTTAGAGGAACGCTATAAAGGTCGAGAAACACTGTTCCACTGTAATATTATCGCTCTCTACTTAGTGTATTTACGCGCTACTGCAATAGCATCTCATTAACGCAGGATCTCGATAACGCGATAATATAATAAAATGTAAATAAACGGATAAAACGATTCGTCAAAAATCGTCTAACGATATTTGTTTTTCGACAACACTTGAAAAAAAAAAAAAAATGTCAATTCCCTAAAATGAAAAAAGTCAAAATATAAAATGATTATAGGCATAGGTATGTTAAACGGCGTACGAATTTAAATTCTGAGCTCCGTTCGCGGGCATTAGGTGTAATCGTTTTTCGAAAATGTAATAAACGTTCCTCGTTCGACAAAAACCATATGAATATTATATATACCCGTAGATAAATAATAATAAACACCCGGGCTTAAGCGAAAATATTACGCCGAATGCCGGAATTACTGGTTACTAAATAATATGATATACGAACAGGTATTTATCGATCCGGAGACATTGATTTGAATTTAAAATATCATTAGACCACTCGGATTATTATCAAATCGTATCATTCGTACATCCGAAGTCCTATATAAAAAGTGTTAATTTTATACACTGAGGCCGTCGGAATTATTGACAAAAAATATGCATAATCGAACTCGCAGTTGGCGACAGATATATTTTCCCTCGATGGTGAGATTTTCGCCCACTAATCAAACTGCTTAATACCCGTTTAAGGGGAAGTTACACGGCCGTTTTTACGAACGCATGGGACAATTGCAATAGGTCAATACGCTACATAGAGACAAATTCACCACTATCCTTCGTTCAATTTTAATTTTGAAAAAAAAAGTATCCGAATTTATTCCGATTTAGAAAAACGTAGAAAACGTTCGTTTGAGTTTTATTTAATTACCTTTTTTTTTCCATAAATAAACTCGTGTATCAAAATTAAACGGTGGTGTTTGTCGTTCCATTCCATACTCTATCTCATCGGTCTGAATGTATATTATGAAAAAACGAATATGAGACTTCCAACCGACTGAAATAAAAACTAAATTACTACCAAAACAATATTACGTAGTTCAATCGATTTGTCAGTCCGCGTGCCGTTGACATAACTGGAACTCGGGTAGAATTTTTATTCTCACACAATTGCGTTTTATAAGCCACCAAATAACGCGTAATTTACACAGTACGACCGGCGAAATCCACGAAGAGCTATGTAAAACGATTCTCGCGCACAATAACGTATTTTATTTTTTTTGTTTTTAACCTCGGCTAAAACGAAACATTTCGCGTAATATTATACAGAACGCGGCGAATGATGAAAATAATTTATCGTCGTCCTATTGTGCCACACAGACGTAATTTTTTTTTTTTTTTGCCTTTTGATTAGGTACTCTAAAATAACCGTTTACGTTACAGTTATTCAAGTAGTGATCGATGTAAAGAATTAAATGAATCATAAATGTCTTATAATTTGTTTGTTACAATAAACTTTTTATTTTTTTTTCGTTTTTAGAATCCCAGTGGAAAGCCGATTAGTTGGATAATTCATTAATGGTCTAGTAAAAATGTTTCGACTTTTTCACATGGTAAATGATGCGGATGTTTTACCAGGTGATACTTTATTAAAAAAAAAAAGAAATTCTAGATTCCTGACAGTTTTTTAATACGGTTTAGAAGATTGACGACGAATATCGATACATAGGTTGTTTTTTTTTTTTTGGTTGATTCCTGGACGGTTTCTTTTCGGGCCACAAAAATATATGCTAGGGTAAAAATGTCGAGTTCATCACGAAATACGTTAGACTTTTAGATTCCGAGAGTAACGAGGGAGTTATTGGTTTTACTAAGATATTTATTTCATTTTTTTTCTAGTTTGTGGACACGTTTTTTCCTGGTAAACTTGTTCTGATTTTTGCGTATAGCAACTTTTCTACAAGCTCGAGCTGTCTAGATTGTACTTTAGTGACGTCATTTTCAGATTTCTGATGCCATTTTTAAATAAAAGCATTTAAGTAGGAAAACATACAATTTCACGATTTCATTATTTTATAGAAACACGGACGTTTTCTACCAGAAAAAATGATTTAATCGAAAAATAACAAGATACATTTTTTGATGCCTTTTTAATTTACTTTCTTACAGTATTATTGCCATAACTTTTGAGCTTTTAAGGAATTTTAATTTTTGAGAGTTTTTTTGCAGTAATCCGGTTATAAATACACGTAGAGACTTGAAACTTAATAATAATGCATTATATTGGACTTTTACCTAGACGTGGTAAAATTTCCAAAATTATCGAATGACTTTTTTATTTTTCAATAAGCGTTTTGAAATTAAATTTAAACAAAAGTCGCAAAAAAAACTTACGGCACTTCTAATTATGTAGTATGGTTTATCGTTGCTTACAGATATAAATGAAATAACCTTATGTATCCTGCCTTCCCAACTCCTCACCTACAACAGTGGTCGCTCCCGTCCCCAGTATCAGCTCTTTTTTTTAAAACTTTATATTGATATTATGCGCGAACAATATGCAAGTTTTCGAAAATTACAATAAGTTTAATTTCATTATTTTTAAATAAACAATTCGATCAAAAAGTCGACTTGAATTTATTTCATATTCGTACGAAAATACGATGTAAAAATAATGGTCTCGCCGAGGGCACTTTATAATAATATAAAAAATTTGATTGTTTTTGTTCAGTGCTGCAGAGACCAAGATTAGGCGATGGTATTATAGATGAACGTAGAACAGTTAATCTAATACAGAATGATTGCTCGCCAAAAACAAACGGACAGAATAATTCCGAGATTAAAATGTCGCAATGACAGTGTTAAGGAATAGACTCGAGTGTTACTAAATTTTTTAATTTTCACTACCTAAATAATTTAATAAAACTTGTGTATAATTACTATATAAACTACGATGTAAGTATATTACATACGCGTAATCGAATTTTATTGATTGTTTATCGGTACGGTTTTATTTATTTTTCTCGGAGTGGGTACTGTAGTAGAACACACGCTAGCGGTTATCTCGATAAACGATGTTTTATAGAACGCGTGTGCTTTCATAAAATAATAATTTACCATCATCATCATCATCATCATCATATTATTATTATTTTCTACTGCGCACAACTTTAAAATGAATTTAAAATGATATTCGCGAAAACATAAAAATTTCATATTTTTCGTAAGTCTATTTGTTATACTCGCTCATTCTCGTACAACAACAACAACAATTGCAGTTCGTATTCCGACCAATTTACATTTATCGCCAGACTCGTCGTCAGTTTTCAGACAAATTTGGTAAAAAAAAAACCAACACCGAGTAGGTACGCTTAAAATATTCAAAACGGATACATTCTCGGTGATCTTAATTCGTATTTGTCCGGTAAAAGTTTCAATTGCGTACATACTGCGCAGTACGTATAGTTGTATAAGCGTGCGTGTTAAACATTAGAAAAACAATTGTTTAGGCGCCCGCCGCTATTATTGTCCGGCGGTATTGCACGTTACTCGGCTCTTATATTTAATTGCAAAGAATATCGAAAACCGTGGTCGAAACCGTACGGTTTCGTAGTAATTCGAGCGTTTAAAACAACGCGCGCGATAATGACGGTCACTATAAACCGTTTAAGAAACCGTCGTCGTTATCGTTTTGCACGTTACGCAGCTTGGTAAATTGCAGGCGTACGGGGGGTTTTTTTTTTTTCTATAACGCGCTCGTTATTACCGCAGGTGTACAAAATAACAATAGGTTACCTGTATACCAATACGTATCCTGTACGGACACCTTGGCCTATAATAATATAATATTCGATATGACGACGAGACTCGCGTTCGGCTCGGAATTCCGTCTCTGGCGTAAGGTATAAAATGACCGATTAAGGTAATAAGTCGGAAATGTCATATTTTCACGGGAGACCGCATACGGCGGAAAAACAATCGCAAAGTAAATAAAGTTTTTGATTAAAATATAATAATGAACGATACGTATTATTATTTTAAAGGTCGGTCGTAGCTCGTTGTATATAGTACATTATTTAGTTGTATCGTTGTATCTACGGTGTTTTTTTTTTTAATTCAAGATTTTAAATTGAAAACAAACAGTTATTAAAATATAGAAAGATGTTTGAAACAACAAACGAATAACTAATATTAATATACATTAAAGAAACTTACGTATATCTGCGATGCGCCCGCGACATGTCAGGAAAAATCGTTGTAAGAAATGTCAAACGTATAGTCAATACGAATGTTAGTCGGGTTTTTATATTTTTATTATTTTTTTTGAATTATTCGTTTTACGGATAAAATCCGCTTTAGAAATTCGGTTGTCATTCCCAAATACCCGCCTGATTTTCTTTTTGCGTAAATATCGTGACGATTTCATCTATACGACTCTTTCGACTACGCCGATTGTTTTTCTACGCTTTTCAACTGCGTTTATAAATCCCGCGTGTTCACCGTTTTGGAATTCGTTAACTGCGCAAAAGACTAACAAAAATCGTACAACAGCCTCGAGCTAGTCAAACGACAAAGCTTACAATTTTACTCGAATCTCTCGCATTAAAATAATATACACTTCCATAACGTTCCGTAACAACGAAAATTATTGTATACCGCGGAAATTTGCTCGACCTACTGGTTTTTAATTAAAAGTGACATCGTTTTTATATGTAGAGACCGCGATGTGACGAGGTAATCATCTCGTCGTCAAACTGCAATATTTTACAATTAACTACAGGTCGTAATACCGTATAATATGCGTAGGTATCGGTTTTTTTTCTTATACGTAATGACTTTTCCCTGGTGAAATTAGTGGCGAAAAACGGTCGATTTTTACCCGAAATCGATATTGCAGGTTAGGTTTATTTATACAACTCACGAAAACATATTATCATATTCCGCGGGACTCTTCGCCGCGATTTTTATATCTTGTTCCTACGTTTGTTCTATACACACATGGTCGATTTGTACTCAATTTAAACGAGTAGGTATTATTATTTGCCGATACATTTTTTTCGAAAACCCATTGCGTTTTATTTTTGATTCTGAATGGAGCGAAAAATGTATTAGTCTTACTATGATGTGGTTTTTTTATTTTTATATCTGCATACATTTTTTCTACCGGAAAACTCGTTCCGTTCAAACAATGCCAAAAGATCTTTTTTGTCGCATTTTGTGTGTTTAATCGGTGCGGTAGTGTTCATGTTTTGATTTTTCAACAGGTTTTCCCGATAATTGGGAAAAACCGGAATAATACGTAAAAAGAAAAACTGACAAATCTATGACATTTGTTTAGTTTTTTTTTTTGGTTGGTACAATATGGATAACACGTCATTTTTCGACTTAAATGAAACGCTTAAAAATTTAACACGAGATTTTTTATAATTCGTATTTAGTATGATAAAAATAAAAAAAGTCTAACTTAATAAAGTAGTTATAAGTTTTTATAAGAGTTTTAAGATCAAATATTAAAGGAAATCGTACATTTTACAATCTTATAAGTCACGATGTATTTTCTAGTATACTCGTCGTTTCGCCACAGTTTGTACCTGCACGATAAAACCTTTCGTTAAGATAACATTCCGGTCCGCAGACACTTTACACGTTTGACGAATATTATTCGACCCCGAGAATGCGCGTCGATAGTTTAAACGCGCCTTTTCGACCGGCCGAACTTGACGCCCGAAATATACAAACGGAAGCGTTCAATAATATGGCAGGACGCTCGGCCTACGTCCGACCACCGCACACTATAATAGCTGACAACTGAAGTGACTGCATTGTATTTCTACGCGTTAAAATCGAATTTATTCTCGTATTCGTTTATTTTGAAAAATGTTATTGTTTAATCTAAACAATATTGTTTTGATATGTTTGCCCATAAAATACCGAATACGTATACCGACAACCCTCGTCGGTACTTATACACCGATAACGACGGATCGAAAACTTAATTGTATTTGTCGAGGCTCTCTCTATATATATATATATACTATGACATATCTCATCCGCGACGGTTTTCCACCTACCACTCCGGAAATCCTCGACTGTTTCGAACGTTTCCGCGAAAACAATAAAAGTACCGGCCTCGGGGGAGTAAAAAAAAAAAAATAAATGGGTTTCGTCGACTCGCGATGATTGTCTTGATGTCCGCGCGCGCAATGATCAGTTTTTGAACCCGACATTTTCGTTCGCCCGACAAAGTTCAAATAACAATTTACCAAACGACAGTGATACGCGGCACCGTTCGGTATTTCGCTTGTTAAAAGTTCCGCGAAACGGTCCGCGATCCGATGAAATTCTGTTCGAAAAAAGATTGTGAACGTTGCCAGTGTATACATTTGTACACCTCGGGATTTATAAACTAAGGACAGTTTATCCGAAAATTAAATTATCCGTTGTGTAATATCGAAATGAAACACGACCGCGACGCCAATTAACATCGGCTGAAAAAAAGAAACCCCAGCGATTAATTATATTGCTGGCGTTTTTTTAAGCACACGATGAGATTTGGCAAAAAAAAACACCGATGTAAAATGCGAACGCGAATATCAATCATATATATGCGTCTGTAAATATTTACCGAAATTATGCACCGTATCGATATAATTGCACGGGTAACGAAAAAACCGAATTAATTAACGGAGAAATTTTCGGTATCGCGAGCTATTTGTTTTATTGTTTCAAAAAAAAAAAAAAATCATTTTTCCTCTCGACGAGCAGCTGCTACGCGTCATCGCCGCGCACGAATCGTTTATATTCGCGATTGATGCGCGGACGATAGACTGCGTTTTATCGTCGAACGCGGCATAATATATTCGTAAGCCTGAAATGACGATAAAACAAAAAGCCCATTCGTATTATTAATATTTCGGTATTGCGTTTTACTCGATTGGGTATCGAACGTTATTTCGTTTTGCTCCTTCCGACCACTAATCCGTTCGGTTATACATATTATACGCATCGTGTTCGACAAACATGAGTTTTCGGGGCATTTCCACGCCCGAGATTCGGAATACCTAGGCCATGTATCATACGCGACCGTTAAATTGAATATCAATATTGTTTTTGCGGTTTCGCTACGTGTTAATCGCGACACGTCAATCGTAAATTTTCCATTTTCCCGTATTAATTGGATTACCGCGAACAATGTTTTCATCGATTAAATATATACTACATACGCTATCTTATGCCCTGTGCCCCGCACGGAGAAAACTCCGCCGAACCGTTAAATTATAGCGACTGAAATAAATAGAATTTATGTATCATACTGTTGTGACGGTTTTGTTGGCATTGGTGATATTATGTGAAGTAATAATGTGGTAACGCTACCGGGTGATACGCACGGGCAATGATCCTGTCGATTTCGTTTTTTTCGATAGTGTACACTATACGTAGTACCTGTACATAATATTAGTGTCGGTGTGACACATCAAGAGCCCCCGGAGCCATTTATGTTTAGGGACCCCGTAGATGAAAAACAAAAAGGCCTTGATTATCGTTGTGATATCGGTTTTATTGGTCGATCGTGTTTCCGAAAAATAGTAACGGATTTCGCGGAGACATACGTACGAAAAAGCCATTTTCAGCGTTCAGTAATTGGCGCATACTCGTTTACTCGCTCGCACAATTATTTTAATAATATTGAAAAAATACATATTATTTTACTGCAGTCTGCAATAGTCAACTAAAGTCTATACATGTATATTTAATCTCCGCACGAATAACAATCAGTAGTCAAATGGAGTCATATTTTATAAACATTTGATCGTTGAAGGGTCCCCAGACACGAACATTACCGGCTATTGGTCACGGCCGAGCCGACACTGATAGTATACACTACGGGAACACCACTGATTATACCGTTAGGGTTTCAATGCGCCGGCGCGCTTTTCGATAATATACTCTACACCTACATAGTATTATTAGTATCACCGAAAAACGAACAACCGTCCTTTGAGTATATGAATACTATCTGCGCAACGGAACTTGCATAGACAAAACGTTCGGGACGAAAACATATAATCTCTAAAGGACGGGAAACGTAGGTACGTAATCTCCAATAAAATAACGCCGATCCTTTGAAAATACAAATTTTATACATTTCATTATCGCCGTTTGAACGATATTATAATACAATTAATAATCTCACTGGACGGTTTCGAAAATCGTGTGGATTTCAAGCGAGTCCGGTCGAAATCGAAAATGTGTGTTGGGCGTATGTCGGGCAGTACACTATGGCGGCGATAGAATCTATTATTTCGACTCGTTCCCGCGTGAAAACAGGAATAACAGTAATAATTTAAACGAATTTAAAATACAAAATAAAATATTCAATTTGACGTCATTGTGAGAACGGACATTCGCAGTGTTACTGTTTTATCAACGCCGAAATTTATTCGTTTATTATTATCGACTGTCAACCTTTTATTTTATTTTATTATTTTTTTCCTAGAAATTGTAAAACGCAACGGGAATGCAGCGAAATACCGAATGCACACTGTATTATTACCATATTATCGTACGACAACGAACAGTTTTAACAAAATATTATGGCGAATTTTAACACGATACGACAAAATTAATCTCGAATAAAATATATAATACTATAATGCATATTATTCAAAATTATCATTATTATTGTTATTATTTAAGCTGCAGTACGTCATAGTAGTTCGCCCCTAAACGTAACATAATAATACGGGAAAAATGTTTAAACAGATGTAATCGCATGTCCATTGACATTATGAAACGTCGCGAATTACCGAACGATTACGTTGTATTACGATATAGCGAATAACAAATAATATTCAATTAATTGAAAATAAACGTCGTAAAATCGAAAAAAATCGGGGAAAATATCCTTGAATTTATTACATTTTATATTTTTCGAAACGCGCTCTACCGTAAGGACACGATCAGTTGGGACACAATATTCTATAGAAGTTGGCCCAAATTTTTTTTAAAAACTAACCACAGGACCGTGTTATTTCGGGCCAAAGTTTAGTTGCCAAACCGAATGAATACTTTATTACAGAAATGAAAACCTATACGCTAAGCATAATATTTTGGACGTAATATGGGCTGTGTTTAGTTTTTAAAATGTGTTTCGCCCGACTTCATTTTTAGGACTTTGACGTCATTGATTCCGATATAATATGTTACCGATACAAGACCGATACCCGATACCACGAGTTGATGTTTAAATGAACCGATATATTGATTGAAAATCCGATTTATTAATACTTGTTTCATAATTCAAAGGCGTAATGGACATTTTTCTCCGAAAATATCGGGTCAAATGTCGGTTTTTCATAAAAAAAAAAACGCATACCGATACCACCAATATCGAGTTAATGTGTATCGGACCACCCCTAATTTTTCCGTTTCGTTAAAATGGAATTTCGACCGTTTCACCGACGGCAGCGGCGTGGCGGTATTGTTTCGAAAGATACACCGTGACTTTTTTACATTGGCCACGTAATCGCGTTCGTAGTTTTCGGCTTGAAATTTAATTGAAATAATTGATTACGCGAAGAAGCACTTGGCAGCCAAGTGCCATCGATATTACATTATTATTAATTTCTCGGTCGGAACCTCCCTCCCCCGATCAATTCACCTGCACAATAATATAAACATCAAATTATTTCGTTGCTCCGTTTGTCCGTTCGTTAAATAAAAAAAAAAAAAAAGACCACTTATAATAATCGTTATTAGTTTAAGCTTTTCAATCAAACACCTGGTGTCTGCGAGCCGGTAGGTTTAATTATCGCACTTTATGACTGATTGCTTTTTATACTCCGACCGTTTCTGACTCACGCGCGCTCGACAAAATTATATTGATTTATAATTGGGTGTAAAAATAATTGCCACAGGACGTCGGATTTCGTCTCACCATGCATGTTATTATATTTTCGAACGAATAAACCGCGCAGTCGTTTGAGAATAAAATTAATTTTTCGTACGGAACTAAGACTAAAAAAAAAAAATTTTTAAAAATGAATAAAAAATAATCATACCTATTACAGAGTCACCAACACTATAATACTATATTGATCATTATTAATCTTGTTTATTATTTATGTACATTAATTATTGTATCTGTAATTTTAAAACTTGTGGTGTATAGAAACTAGAATTATACAATAATATAATAGATTTCAACTGGGAATCGAAGATATCTAATTTTAGTATTTCGGCGCATGAATCGGATAAATCCTGATTTTTTTTCTGTGCACTTCGTCTTTGTCCACTAAAAATTCTCAAAATATATTTACTACGAAACATAAACATGTGCGCCCGCCACCGGCTTTTTATTACTTGTAGGTTCACTAACTCGCTCCCTAACAATCATTAGTAATCAAATTTATATACACGTGTGTACTACGAAAAGTCAGGGGAAAAAAGTTACTGAAGGATAAATACAATCAGATAGTAATATTATGTTCCTTTGGAAATATCGATGTAACAATTAAATAAATCCGAAAAATTAAAAAAAAAAAAGAAAAAAAAAAGAGAGGTTTTCAATTGTTTCGAGGTCGTCAATTGTTTTGGATTGTCGATCGACTCTACTGTGTTATTTCCTACATTACAATTATTATGTTTCGGCAACACAGCTGTTATTTTTACCGAGCGGACAAAAGTCAAACGAATACGGAATATCGAAACTTTTGTTCATTAAACGTCGGCGGCCACGCGAATGTTTCCGAAAACACGAACGTCGGGCTTCCGGAAATGTTTACAGCCTATAATGTAGCATAGTCGAATCGTCAATTGTTTTATTTTCCTGCAATGCTCGTTGTTGTGCGGTTTTAAGGAAATAACTATTTATACTGCACACAGAAAAATCCAGACTAAAAAGTATTCGATATTAAAGATGTCAGGATTTTTATTGTAATACTTTATTTTTACTTTTTTTTCCGTGTAAAAATCTCGATTATAACCAGAGCGGAAACGTTGGGCTATTGGACGGCCGTCACACCCCGACCCTTTAGAACTCCTGAGGGTACCGATTTTCAATTTCAAAAGATGATTTTATACAAAAAAGGCATCGCCATAAAAACAAATGTGACGGGCACGACATATACAACAGTTATACATTTTTAGTCTCCTTTGAAACTATGTCCACACGCTACTTTTGTACTTTTCCATAATACCGTCTGTATTTTATAATTATTCATTTTTATTCGAATTATGCGTATTATCGAAATAAAAAATTGCCCGGCTCCAGTGCCTTATTTGTGTGTGTAATACGAAATCCGATGTGTGTAACCTGAAATCATCATAAAGTGTGCCTGAGTAACGATTTATTTATATCGATAACTATCCCAGCGCTCAAAATTTAAAAAAAAAAAATTGATAATAGTTGCTTCCCGATAACGCTAATCTAATAAAAAGTGAAGGGATAAATTGTATTTGGAAAACTGTGTGAGGCTTCACCTCCCACATGCGCAGAGAAAAAAAAGGGGTAGGTATAGTACAAAAAATTACGAAAATCAAGCCCTGCCCCGGCGATCGCCTGTATATAATGCTAACCTACGGGTTATCGTTCGGGTTTTCCGTTTTCAGGAAGTAGTAATTTTAAAAGCGATCCGATATTATTTACGTCATATATTATACTATTTACTACTCGATTTACGTCAGACGCGATAACACGACGATTTAAGGACAAAAAAAAAAAAGTGGTCGAACATAAATATTACGCGAGGCGGATTCGGCTGATTTGAAGGGCCATAATCGTTCCACTCGAACACGTTTCACGGATACTGTTTTGTGTTTGCCATTTGCTGGTGTTATTGTCCTACGACAATATCGTTTTGGAAAAAAGAAAACTGTTTCCGTTGTAACCGATGACGCTTTCCGCGGAAACCCGTGGAGTTCTGTAAATATTTGCCGGACGACTTCGCCCTCGGACGTTCTGCCCAGAGCCGGTCGCTATTACGGACCCAGCGGTTTACGTGTATTTTACCCGCGAAATATTAATATTGTGTCGCCGTTAAAAATTATCGCGTGGGGAGGGCACTTGGTTTTGTAAATATTTACCGACCGTCGTGACCCCCCCCTCCCCCCTCCCTCAATAGAGCAAATCCGGCGGAAACGAATCTCGGTATATTTGTAGCGTAAATTGTGTTGGCGTCGGTCTCCTGGTTCCTGTTCGAATCTCGTCCCGCGATATTATCCGTACGATGAAAATTATAATGTATACGCTTCAATCCCCGCTCTCTCATCCTCTACCTAAATAAATTTGATTTTTTAAAAAAAAAAACTAAATAAATAAATAACATCATTATTTTTTTTTTTCGATGTTCTCCCCGTTTTAAATGCACTGCAACAAGACAATACAAGTAGTAAACTGTAGGTACCTATCGCGAATCTGCATAACACATCCGACGTTGAACGTGTAAAACCTACAATACATTTCTCGCAGCTCCGTTCGGAAACTAAAGAAAAACTTTACTAAAGGCTCGTTTTGGATCATAGTCCCCGAAATATATATAAATCAGGCTCCGGTGACGGCGTTTTCACAAACGATATTGTTGTACTCTATGTATAATGTATTGCGGTATTGTAAACGGGGGAAACTGATGACTGCAGCCGAGATCGCCACAGCACGTCGCCCCTCGATTTGTATTCGTGCGGCGGCGCGGCAAAGGCTCGTCAAAATCGCGAATTTAACGATTCGGACGTGTAATAGGTACCGTTATAAATCGCTCGGTTATAATATATTAAAATATTATGTACATTCGCCCGTCCGGTGCACCGTCGTCGCCGTCGACCGTTAGGTTCTCGGGAAATAATATTAATCGAAATGTCGTCGAAAGGAATGCCGCGGATCAAACGGCCGGCGATTATTTCTACAGTGGTCTCGCCGCCGTTCGAAACAAGGAAACTATACAATACATTTTACCCGGTATAGATAGTCGAGACATGCACTTTCAGTCGCCGATAATCTTAATGGAATCTATAATTCCGTGTATCCGGACGTTTAAATGTTGTTTTTTTGTTGTTGTTGTTGTTGTTTATAAATACAATCTTACCGCTGTTGACGATTCTACACGAAACTTTGCCTCGGTCTAGAAAATATACTGGCATAATACTGGTGATCAACTGTGGTATAATTTTTGATGATTTTAGAAAGTATGGCACTGTAAATCGCCGGGGAGTAAAAACACAGTTTGGAAAACACGAACAAAAATCAAAATCGTTTTCCGCAAACGTAAATCGAAACCCGGAGAAGTATAAAATTTCGTCGTTTTCCATACGGCTTATACAACTCAAAATGAAAGTTATTACGGATCCGTTGTATTACTACTATAAGTTGCCGTAATCGAAAACGGCCAACCCGAAACCTCTTTGCGTTTACTCTCTCGGTGCTTAAAAAAAGAAAATCCCGAAAATCCGTCTATGACCCTTGTTAAGATATAATACACTCGGCCCGTGCCGCGTACGAAATGTCCACATTTTATCTATGTATAATGGTTTCAAACGATCGTACGAAAACGTTAAAAACTCGTATGAAAATAAATAAACGTACAACTAAATTAAGGCTGTTTAGATATATCTCGATGTGTGAGTTATGAGTTATTTTTATATTGTCTATCTAATATTTTAAAAGTAGTAGTAAACTCGTAAATTAATTATTTAATAATTATTTCAAATTCGAATATTCTTCAGGAAATATCGATTGTGTTGCTCGTGTACTTAAAAGTAACGAAAGATTATATTTTAATTCCTCGTTGTTGAAAAAAAAAACTAATTATTTTTCTCTTACAGTAGTTTCTGAAATTGTATACATTGATTAGTTCGAAAATAAGATAAATTGAATTTAGTTTGGTTTTCTTTTCTTTTTTTCTTAATCCGGTTGAAATTAATCCTAGAGACCTGGTAATTTCAAAGAATGCTTATATTTCATCACTTTCTAAACGTAGTACAAATTTTCAAAACAATCTGGCTATTTTTGAGCTATTTATTGCCGTCTGAAGTTCTATGTGGATAAAATTAATTCGGCGATTAATTAAACGATAGACAATTTAACACGATATTCGTTTATTCTTAAGTCAGAGTTAGTAATAGAGTTAGAATTTATATGCGATACAAAATTGTAAAATATGCATTTCATTTACCAATATATGCAAAAACAAATTTTTATTATTTCTATAAATTTTGTTATTTATTTTGATTTTCTAATGTATTTTTGATGAATGACTGTTTAGATTTAGCTTTTAAATTAATATTTTTTTGTAATTTTGTCTCACAATTATAGTGGACAAAAAAAAAGTTGCAGAGGGTAATGTAATACATTTATTAATAAGTGTCTTTAGTTCAAATTTTTATGAAAATCGTTACAATCATGATATTACAAAACATGTTTAACCGAACTTTGTTCAGAACCGTTTTTCTTTAACAATGATTAATCGTTACATACAGATGTAAATTAAATTACTAGGCCCTCTTCTCGATTTTCCAACTACAATAGTGGCACATACATTAGCTGTATTAGCTCTTTTTTTCGGTGTGTTCATTTGTTCAAATTACGGTTTCAAACGTATAGTTATTTTAAATAAATATTATTAGAGTAAGAACGTGATGAATTATTTTTTGTTATTTTATAAACTAAATTGATAGATAAAAATGGTAAGAATTAAAAAATGAACGGCTTCTATCATATAGATGCTCGTGTTTAACAAACGTTGCAATAAATAATACGCGTTTTATTAGGTCTAAAATTATTATTCATATTTTCGAACGATGTTTTCACCACCTGCAAATTTCATTAGTATTTATCTGAAGAAAAAAAAAAACAGAGCGTCTAATTTTTTGCGTTTAACGCTCGTTCGTTCGAAGTGCCGACAATTTTAGTAATTTCATCTGTATACTCGTATACATGTATACTCCGACAGGGTGTATACACTTAAACGCGATATTTACGGACAAGAGATGGAAAATGTTCACTTGATTGGCTCGCGATAATTAAGTTTTCTATATTACGTGACGGACCTCACGTTTATATACATATACATATATATATATATAAAAGGCACCAAACTTGATAATATTTATTACCGCTAAACGGCGGACCCGCTGCATCAAAGCGAACCGAATGCTTTTATTCGGATTAACACCCCGCGGCACGTGGGCCGTTATACAGAAACCTATTATACCCACGTACGAAACGTCCCGCCGTAATTTACCGATATGGCACAATGAGAGTATAAATGTATATTATGGCCGATGATTGTAAACCAGCCGAACGGAGAGTGAAAAAATAAATTATAACGCGATTTTATTAGATTATTTTTCGTTCGATAAACGAAACGAATCCGTTTGTCCGCGTACGTTGCGAAAACGATCGTCTTGTAAATTCCGTCCCGGTATTAGGACACCCGCGGCGATTATAGGGTAGCCGGGATTTTTAATCGAGAACGGTCGGGCCCAAGGCTTTTCGGGCTCGAGTCGTCTTTGAGGTTTTATAATCGTATATTTTGTTATTAAGGGCATTTCGGTGTTTCGAGATATTTTAAACGCACGCCGAAAGGTTTTAAGGAACAACCGCGCCAAACGAATTTTAACATATTAAACTTATTATACAACCGAGTTATAGGAATAAATTTGATCAATTTTTCAAACGATAATAACTCGTGAATTGAATTGAATTTTAAAATTATCATTTAAAAATATCAATTATCAATGAAGTATCATTAATTTTTTTTTTCAAATTATTGACAATTATTGTTTTTCAGAATAAAAAAACCGTTGAATTTATTAAAAGACAAACGATAAAAACATTTGTCGTTCGGAAAAAGGTTAACTCGAGTATTTTCGATGATTGAATTTCACTGCAGACGCGATTCGAAACGTTCTCTTTTCGAACATTTCCGGAACGTAGCCGACAAACGTTTCACTTACTCTATAGATTCATTCTACGCGTTTTTAAACTTCAAAATCGACTGGGCCAAACTCAGCGTACGCTTTAAACTCTGTCAGAATATAGAATCGAGTAATATATCGAGGTCGTTTCCTATATTGTTCTGTACAACGAGTTGATGCGCAACAGATTTCTATATTTTACAGGACCATCACTTTTGGGAAAATAAACGTCGTAAAATATTTGGTACGGTGCGTAGTCCGTACTTTAATGTGTTACATAGGAATTATGATTTTATCACTGATAAAATGATAACATATTTCAGTAGAGGTGACCAATGTACCAGATATTTCGCAATGATTTTTTTTTTTTTTTTTTAATGGGTATATAGCAGCTTGACACAGAATATTAAAACGACAGTCCGAGCAAGGCGACGTCGGGCGCGGACATCTTTTACTACGTGTAATTGTCGAGGACAAACAGGTAGGGTGACGTTTTTTAGTCCTTGTAACCGAGTATTTTAAGGATTTTTGTATCATTTCTACCGGTTAAATATATTATTATTATGTACCTACGCGCGCCCGTGCGCAGACGTCATTTACTTTGGGTGACAGGTATTCAGTGCATTTCTGTTAAATTTATTATTTATTATTTTTTTCTCGCGAGGCCCGACCACTTGATATTATAATTATTATTATTTTTTCATTTAACTTTGAAATGTAATAACAATACTGCGATGAATCCTACCCGCTCGGAGGCACACGTGTTTTAAAATGACCCATTTGAAAAAATAAAAAAAAAAACCACTTATTTTTACATTGAGATAAACGCATATAGGTTCACTGTAATAGTCAACACGTTTGTGTGACTTTCACCATAGTCGAACATCAATGAAACGATACGACAAAAACAACACGTGGATTTTGTCGACAATTACAATACAAGACGATGGAAAATGAAACCGCATACGGTTATGTCCAACGGTGTACAACACTGTGTTCACAAAAAATACATTTTTTTTTTTAGAAATTATCAAAATCTAATATTGAAATTAATGTTTCTATCTCGTAAAGAATAACGATGTGTTAAGGTTAAAATTTCATCGCAAAGAAAAACAAGTTTATAGATGAAAACAATAGAAAATTTGATCTTCTGTGATATATCCTGTGTCCTTTATCTTCGGAGCATATAAAATTATATTAATTATTTTGTAAATTCGATTATACGTATAAATAAAATTGTATTAAAATATTATGAATCGTGTACATATACACTTGTGTAATAATCGTGTTTTTTATCAAATTCGATCAACGAAAAGTCACTAAATATTTCAATAATTTATATACTTGTATTTATATACAATATGCACGTGTATTTTTTTCGCTAGCTAAAAAATAATACTTGCAGATCGTTTAATCCAAATTCATCAAAATTTGATTTTTTTTTTTTTTCAATATTTTTAACAGTGACTATACGATTTTATCGACATTGATATAACTGTCAAAAACACGTTCGACCGTTTAAACGAAAAAAGAAGACGAATACAATATTTAAATGGGAAATTATAATGTTACACCGACGCGCAACGATAGGTTTTAGCGCTCTTGCCGTTATTATTATGCGAGCTTTTAGTTGATTGTTCTTTATTTTTGGACTTTTCGCACTGGCACCGCCGCCGCCGTTGTGAAAAATATGAAATATAAAACGCAATTTATTCCGTCTTTGTATTATACAGGTACGTACCCACGGTTATTCAAAATAATGTACGCGACCATTTTTCAGAACGAAATACTGCAAAATATTTCAGACATATTAAAACTTGCGTTCACTTAGCTGAATTGTCTGTTACATTATATTCGCCTGTGTATAGCCTAAACAATAAAGGAAAACACACTATTATCATAACTATAATCTCTCGTTAAAAACGTCATTTGAAAAAATAAAAAAATAATAATAATAAACGAATCGAATGCTTTAAAAGAGGTTTTTTTTACAGAAAAACGCACTCGGGGAATTACCGGCTAAATAATCAACCTTCAGAACTTTGAGTGAAATCGATACGTACAATGTTTAGATAAGCGTACTGTTTTATTCGACTGTCAGATTTCCTGTGAAAATGCATTATAATAGGTAATTCGGTGTAATTATATACGATATTGTTTGTTCAAACCGATGATTTCTCGACGATTTTTTTTTCCGGCCCCGGCAACATCCTTGTCCAAGTGTTCCCGTTAATTGAATTTATACAAAATTACGGTTAAATACTATACTATTATTGTATTCAAAACATGTTTAAAGGCTTTCCCGTGACTGATAAAAAACCGCGACTTAAAATTCCCATACAAACTTTTCCCATTCGCGAACTGCGAAGTAAATTGATTTTAAAAATTATATCTCCTCAATCTCCGGAATTATACGCTAAGCTTCTCCGGATATATTATGAGACATTTTGAAATTCGTTTGACATTTCAAACATATTATTCCGTCGAATCATTTCGAAACACGCACTATCGCAGGTTCGATTTAATTCCGAAGCGCTCACAGTCGGCACGTGCGCGTATAGTAAATGGTTTTTAAAGAACTTTATTCGGTAACGATGATGTTAAAAACACGGAAATTAAAAGAGGAAACAAAAAAAAAAAACCACCGCGACCTTCGAATAAAATCGCGATTGTATACAAAAACCGTTTGTGGGTAAAAAAATGTTCACAAATATTGAAATATTATGTTGTAATAGAAATAAAAAAAAAAAAAACGAAATACCCCGTGTTTACGAAACAATTTAAATTCGCGAAATTAGAGTATTTCGAAAGTGTATGTTGACAGTTACTGGTGGCCTGCAATATCATGACAGGGCAGGTATACTAAAATTTCCAATCATATTCTAAATTATAGTATATCATTTTTTGTCGTTTATTTAAAAAAAATATAGGTATACATCATATTCATAGATGGGCGGTACGATTATTTGTTTTGAATTGCGCGTATATGACGGTATCATTATAAAATTACCATACATAATATAGAGTTTATTTCGTATATTTTTTTTTTCTCCAAAAACACTAATAGCATGAAACAATATACCTGCAGCGAAGTATACAAATTCGTAAACACGCGCGTGCGATGGCATACTGTTTGTTATACGGGCTGGAAATAATTGTCGTCGTCCGATAATATACATATTAGCGCCGTACGGTAAATTTATAATTTGAATCACAAAACATACGAGTGTCGTATAAGATCCGAAAATATTGTTCGTCCTCTTTTTGTGTTCCGCACAAATCCGGCAAAACATTTAGAATTCAAAAATGCACAATAATGCGCGCGAAAATCATAAAGTCTTACAATATCGTCGGCTCGTAAATGATATCGATACTATAGAATTGTACAGTATTAGTACAGCGGAAACCTACACGTGCACAACTTTAACGTCTACTGATATGAAAATTCCAAATAAAATTGTAAACGAGGTCGTTTTCCCATCGTTGACTAAGACTTCGGTTTTGTTGTTACGGTTGTAACATAATATACGTTTTTTATACAAGTACAATATTAATTTGTGTACAAAATAAAATTCATTAAACGGAAAACTAAATCGGCGATTCAAAGTAAAAATACTTCGAGCCGCCACTGCTCGGGAAAACGTCAAGGTTTCTTTTTTCGCTTTCAACGAACGTGCGGCGTTATTGATGACGGAAAATAGACGAATATCGGTCCATTATTCCGAATTGAAACAAATATCTATAATGCAAACCGATATATCTATACCGCTTGATCGAATGTATGATCGTAATATGTGTACGCATGTGTGTAATGATAATTATATTATTATAATTATTATTATTATTGGGTAGTCCAACGCACATTACGGAAAATTGAATTCGCGTTACAATATAGACGAAACTCTAAATTAAATATTAAAAACCACTCGAAACAAACATGTATAGACAATGCGTAGTTCAATAACTCTGTTGACGCAGAACGTCTTTAATAATACGTTTTAATAAAAAAAGTTTTGAAGGACTTTTCGTACATCAACCGTACAATCATATTGTTCACCTTGACGATAAAATCAAAACCGTACAGAAAATCGTTACCCTTACGGTAAACACTTAAACATTCGCTTATAAACTATATAATATGACACGGGACATCGTTCCACTATGTACAATCGCGGCCTGATACAGGCTGACTATAAAATATTCTGGTAAAGATACTATACCGAATAAAACGCAAAAACTTTACTAAAACCAAAACGACTTTTGGTAAACCGTGTCTTTTAACCGCAATAATAAAATAATAATAGTAACGAAAACAATATATTGTATACCTTTCTCGACATTAAAAACGCATTTGAAAATATATTATCACCTCTTGAAAACGGCGAACCGCTATAGAATTTTATCATATCGCGCACGCGACAAGATGACGAAAAGTTGAACCGTCGAATTTGTATGAATAACCTTTCGCACCCGTGCAATTATACTTGAAATCTGAAAGTTTATATGTGTTGTAATGATAAGACTCTGATAAGATTGTGATAAGCACGAGACATCACATAAGTTATTAAATATGTAATGTTAATATATAAGTTATTAAATATGTTAAATAATGTGTCACATCATCTTAAAAGATAATTAAATATAAAACAATATGAACGGAATGGCGCAAATTATTACAAAAAATAAACGGATTAGTGAATTTTTATTAAATTAGTTTCATTTATTTTTAGTAACAAAATTTAAAAGATTTTAACGTTTCGCCGCGTCTTTTATAATTGAAAAATCGTTTTCATTCCACGATTTAATAACAATAATCCAAAACGCGTTCTAGAAAACAAATAGGAAAATTCTGTTTGATTTTATATTATCCAATTTCCAATCTGCAAATTGCGTATTATCATATACGTTTTTTCCCTTTGACGATCGAATGACGTATACCCTGCAAAAACGTATAAATCCCCAAAAGCTATTGACGAGTCAAATAATTATTGTGTATCATATATATAAATCGGACGTATTCCTAAATTCTATATTATATATATATAGTTAATGGAAAATCGGAAACTATCAATCGAAGGTACGTAAATACAATAATCTGTTTCCGGCAACCGTTTGCTGCAGTCCAATGTTTACAAACGAATCACTGGCATATACCTTTATGACCTGTACCTTTATAAATAGTAAATACTGACGTTCCGAATTATTTCCCCATAATACGGATGCCGGTTCTCTTTATGCGATATCGATAGGTACAATACTAGGTATCCGACGTCTTTATTACGATAAACTCGACGGCGATTCAAATATTAACCGCTTGCTGCTTTGATGTCTCCAAAACGAAAACACTATATTATAATACACGATTCGATGCAATCGTCTCCCAAATACAGTCTCTCTAAACGACGCTTTGCACGCGCATTGCCGTTTACTCCTTGGCTATTCCGCCGAGGAAATAATTATAGTTCAGTGTGCTTTTGTCCCTATTAACAGACAATTGTCAAAGGCCTCTTGGACCGGAATTTTTCGATTTAATGTTTGGTTGTAAATTGATTAACGGACAATTAGGCACTCGTTTAGCCTTTTCAATTATTACTTTAGCTTTAATTTACTTTATGAATATTATAATTACAGAGCTTAGATAATAATAATTGTCAGGTGCCAAGTGAAGTATTGAATTGCCTGCAGTTAAAACTTTATATTGTACTATTAAATATCCCGTATAGTATTGAAATTAACAAATATATAATTCCTGTAATTTTGATGATATTGAAATTATACACATATTCGATTATAAGAACAAACAAGCATTATTTAATTATACTAAATGATTAACTATTTGTATACCTGGCGGTTTAAGCACAATAAGAACCGTCCGTTAAAAATTCATCATTACCCGCTTATAAACATGCTTTAATTAAAAATAAATTATTTACCGAGTTCGAGAAAAATTCTATCACTGCAAGACGACACTAACCTAATCTGCTATAGAAAGGACAGTTGATTAAAAAATAATTCGATTACTTTAGAGAAACAAAATCGGTAATGGCCAAATCGGTTAAAATTTTGAAATAACCTTACATGGTTAGTAAATGGTTAGAAATTAAATTGTGAAATTAAAGGAATCGAGATTTTTAAAATCAGGTAAGTGTAGGTCATCATGTAGGTATGATAAAACATCTTTAAAGAAAATTTATTCTTTTCGACCTAAAATAATATATTGTGCTTATTTCTTATATCTATGTATATGTTTATTCTACGTCGATCGTTTTCTACGCAAATTCATTAAATTCGTTCATTTTGTTTATTATTATTAAATAAAATACAATTTACTTCATACATCCACCGGGGGCGTAGCTCAGATGGTAGAGCGCTCGCTTAGCATGCGAGAGGTACCGGGATCGATGCCCGGCGCCTCCAACCGAAATTTTTTGCACTTTTTTTTTTCAATTTCTCATATGAAATGTAAAACGATGGATTCATTTTATTTCCATTACAAATAATTATTATTATTTTTGTAAATATTTACGTTTTTAATCGGATTTTTAATTTTCATCTATTCTATTCGGGTTCGAATAAATATTACGTAGGTTTCGATTTTTTTTTCGTTTCACAAAGGTGGGAGGGTTATATGAATTGCGGATTTCTTGGATTCCTCGTCATGTGTTTTGTTTTATTATTTGTTTACTTTGTTGGTTTTCCTAGCGCGAATAAATTTATACCACAAAACCCAAATCGACACAATTTGTCTCTCATGAAACGGCATAATCAACGGCTTCCGTCAATATTGAAAGAAACGAAACAAACGTGAAAAAGTCGTTTACGAGTGAATGTCGTTGTAGTAATAATTGTATAAACAGTTCAAAAATGTATTAGAATTTCGCGAAACCGCTCATGTTTTAAAACCGTGAAACAAAAATCAATTTAAAACTATTCGGTCCGCTCATTATATATTTATTACGTTATTTATTATAATATATACTCCGTTTATCTCGAAACAGCGATTTTCTCGGAAGATTTTAAGTGAATTTGATTTGTGTTTTTTTTTTTTTTCAATCGTCATAAACCGTTTATAAACTTTATTTTGATGGGTTTTCAAATAGAAACTCCTCTTCTAAACACATATACGAATGGCGAGTATGTTTGCCTAATACTGTTGATAACACTGCAACAATTTTGGATTTATTGTGCATGTAAACTACAGTTTAAAGTTTAGACCGGCGGCGGTAGAGTAGGGAATAAGGTTTATCGATCGATCATCTAAAAATGAATATGCAGTCTATATCGAAATTTTTTAGAATTTTTATTCTCTTTTCGAACCTGTGCTTAAAAATGGGCGTTCTTGTTTGATGATCGACAGTGACTCGGGGTAGGGGTAAAATATAAAGCTCAAACGATTCCATAAAGGTTGGAGAATACAAAAAAACAATAGAAATTGAATTTACTGAAAATCCTCCGTGAATCGCCGGTTCACGATAAACGGAATAATAGATCAACCCGTAGTATCAAATGATATGGATAGACTTTTCAATTATTTAAATAATAAAACAATTCCCTACTACTGAAATAGTAAAACAAATACTTACACGTACGTATCAGGTACCGAGTTTAAATAGAACAAACTGTATTATAAATTTCTTTGCAGTTTTGTCGAATTCCGGCCGCGTTATTCGAACACTGCCGTATACTATTGCGTTTATCATCTAAGTGAAGTTTAATGGAACTTTGACAGTTTGCAACTTTGGAAGTGAATCATATTGTCTAAATTAAACATTGTGCCTAACATTTCGCAAAACGAATCACAATAACTGCACACACGTTTATTATATAATACACGTAATGATATTATGTTCCACATTTACAGATTCGTTAAAAAATGATATCACGAAAACGCCGAAATGTTCGGTTTTTTCATACGCGTTTAAAAAACAAAAATTCTCACGAACAGTGTTTGTACGAATTGATGTACCGTGCACACTTATATCCGCTGTGTACTCGTATACTTATATTCCGGTATGGTATATTGTGAATGGGGGGGAGCGTGCTTAGGGGGACGGGGCTAAGGGAGCGAATGCTCTCCGTGGAATCGGATTTTCCACGGATTTACGGGGGCACCAAATTTCAGACCGGTATCGGGTTTAGATATTAAACACAATGATAGAGCGTCTGCTATAGTAGTCAGCACTACCCACTGATTACAGATCAAAACCATTTGACTTTATAATATAATAATATATCGGGAAAAAAAGTTTTACTGGCAGTCGACCGAATTCTTGAAAAACTAATGCAATTTATTCGTCTCAACGATCGACCCGCGCACGCGAAACATTCGCCATGAAAATCGCTCGGAATTATGAAAATTACTGAAAAATATAAAACCATTTTGAAAATATCTCGTTTAAAGTATAAAACATTTATCGACTCCGTCATGCCTCTCATCTTGTTATTTCGTACAAAATGTATTTTTTGTTTTTTATGTAAATTAAAACTTTTCTAAAAGCTCACCGCCTGGCTTATACTATACATTATACAAAGTTTGAGCATTACATTATGAAAACAATATTCGATGAAAACTGTATTATAATCGAATTAAGGTATAGGTTGGTACATAATAATATATAGACCTGGTATGAATCTTGGTATTAAAAACGAAATTTACAACAAACTCTGAAATATCTAAACATAAAACAATTTATAAATACTTAAAAAATAATTTAAGTTGGCCAAAACCGCTCCGGCACAAAGGGGTCTGAGTCGTAATTTAGCTTACCTACAATTTCAAAATTATGTCAAATATGATTTATGCTATAAAATAATTGATAATTATAAATATACTTCCATAATATGGAAACTGCAGAACAAGGGAAGTTCATAGAGTTATAGATTTTAACATTTATTTGTATAAATAATTTAATTTTGAATCTGGAAGCGTATAACTTATTATTTATCACTTGATACATTTTTTCACCGTTTACATAAATTATAGTATAATTTTCGAGCTTTTCAAATCCATTAGCAAAATTTGCGGAAACACCGGAAATTTTGGTTTTTATAAAATAAAATAATATACTCTTTAAATTTATACAGAGTTATATTGTATTTTTATTTTGTCTACATTGAATTGTAGTATTATTATTACTTTTTTTTTCTATTTATTTTATAAATTGTATAACACATTACCATAATATTATTTTATAGGAATTTGTAATGTATCGAAAGATCAAAATAAACAAATTTGACTTATGAAGATTTATTTGAACTGTTACGACAAAACGACCATTTTAAATCCAACTTCTAATGAATCTAGGAAATATTTAGTTGTATATATAAAATAATACATAAAACACATTTTAAAGAAAACTATAATATTTTTAAAAATAATAAAACCAAAAATAAATTACATAATTTTAAAGAAGAAGTGGATAAAACATTATAGACATTGAGATTTATTTATTTAAAAAGAAAACCAATGGTTTAAAACTACGTTTTATAGTTATTTATCTAAAACGTCTAGACTTCCCGTTAAATTAGTGAATGCACTATTGTTAACATAGGATATTTTAATTATTCTACATTGAATGACTAAGTAACAAATACTTAGGAATACAATGGTCTAATATATTAGATTATTATCAATATGTAATATTAATAATTGGAAATTATATGCCAACGTTAACTACCTACCTCAGTTTTATAAAATTTCTAAATTTAATAATTAATTAAAAACCTATATGAAATTTGGATTCTGCGCCCTTTAAAACACATAAATTAATATAAAAAAATACAAAAATCGTAATAATATAAAAATTACCCCCCACAGTCCCCCTAACTAACAGGTAAATTGAAAAACGAATGTAAAATTCATGTTCAGTGTCCTCAAAACTAATAGGTTTAGTGTATCACACTATCATACCAGTTAAAATTTAAAGGTTATATAATTTATGTAAACTAAATTACGATTCAGACCATTGTGATTTAGATTGATCGAATGCAGATACCTGTGTATTATTACGTTTTAATAAAATCGAAGACTCGGAAATTTAAGGCCAAATTCAAATCTCCGATCAAAAATACATTTTTAAAAAAATATTCTGTCGGGTTTATCTGATCGTCACACCCGAATATAGTTTTTTTTTTTTTTTTTACATTTATACCGTCAAAATGTGAGTTTTCGAACAAATTTACGTTTCTGGTTGTTGCGTTTCAATAGGAATTTTCAATAGGTACGTATAGCCCGATAAAATAATATTACAACTAAACGTTATCGTCCAATTAATCGACATCGAACCCATTACCGAAATAGTTTGATTTTTTTCGTGTTTATTCAAACATATTTCCACGGGGAAATCGAATGATACGCGTATTGCGTATGCTATGTACTACCGCTCAAACATTTTAACTCGACATATTAATTGATTATTTGGTCCAGAAAAAAAAAAAAAAATTACCAATCCATTCCGGCTATGACAATCGTATAATATATTTTAATTTACACACTTTGTTATTATTGAATACCGATTATCGTGTAAATTATATAATATAACATATAGAATGGGTGATAATAATGTATCGTCATTGAAAACAATGAATCACCGGCCGCGGTTTTACACGGCCGGTACCCAAAAAAATAATATTTCAAACGATTCGTCGCGATTTTGAATTTATCGAAAACGAAAAAATAAGAAAAAAAAAAAAAGCCGTCCCAGGATAACGGGGACAGGTGCGGCGTCTATTATAATAGACGATTTAACGTGTGTCCGTAACAACAATAAACCATTCGGAAATAACGATTCTGATCGAAGTCCGGTTTATAGTGTTACTTTGTCAACAGTTAATTGCAAAATAATTACGTAATACGCAATATATATATTCTTTAATAATATTCGTTTAATAATGCATACCCGTTTTTCAGTTGTTCCTACGTTTCGGGACTCCTGGGACTCCTGTGAAAACCAAAAAAATGACGCCCTCAAAATATCACCCGGGTCAGATTTCCTTTCAGAAAAATTGCTGTCATTGTGAATCGGAGCGAGATTTCTGGTAGAAAAGTTGTTCGAAGATGATGGAAACATCACCGTAAAACCGAATACATTAACGGAAACGGAAAACGGTTTGTTTCCGTTTTCGCCCTCCGTTCGAACAAATATTACTGTGGTCTTCGCTAATCGTATAATACGTATATATATATATATATGTATGTATTTCATAGCATACAGGCAAACGCAATCGTTGTTTACGAGACTTGTATACGATAATTTTTATCAAACAGTCGCCGACAAAGCGTATACGTAACGCGACATTTACATACGCGTATTATTTGTTGTTGGTTTTTTTTTTTTTTATATATCTCGGATAATAAAACATCAGCCGCTACTGCACTCTGCCCGGGCGACGTGTGCGACGTTCGCGACAATGTATTCAAGTAAACACATCGTTATACAGTTACGGGCGCAATATTATACATTAGCCGAGCTCGCGTTGCACAAAAGACGCCGGAAAATGTAAAATTGCCTGTCATTTACATATAGCGTAACCGGAACAAACGGCGGAAAATGCCGCGGGTTCAGAACGCTATGTTTATTATTATTGTTAAAACACGCGCGGAGTTCGGCGCGAAAGCTGATTAACGAACATTATATTTTACACGGAGGTACGATAGTGGTATTATACCCGGATGACAATGTATTGCCGACGCGATAATAATACTCGGGTCGGTGACGCGATATAAATCCGGATTATCCGAAAATCCGGATTTCGGATTCCGAAAATTGTCCAGTCGGTATTTTAAGGAAGTCATTTTTTTTTTTTTTTTAGTTTTCCAGACAGGTTTTCAACCCAACGGACAAACGTTTTCGGCGTAACGACATCATGGTTTTTACACTGTCGTTACTAAAGTTGAACAATATTGTAGAGACCTGCGCAGCTTTCACAAAATACTTATATTGGCCTTTTTGTACGGACGTGGTAAAATTTTCAAAACATTCTAGCTATTCACAGTTATTTGATATTTTTGTGTATTTATTATGTATTTTTGTTTGGTAAGTATCTGTTGTGATTAAAATCATTGTATGTCTTAAGAGAATTTTTCGGATTTTGGAATATTACACGCGATCGTTATTTCTAATAAAAATCTATTGTAAATATAGACGCGGCCCTATACCTACAGCAGCGTGGACAGGCCGTTTCGATTTTTTCAAGCTACCGATAAAGTAAACTTTGTTAATACCACGTACGCGTTTTTACATTTTTAATTTAAACAACTTTTCACGAGTTATCCGAAGGTTTTTTTTTTTTTTTTTTTTTTTTTTTTTTTAGGACCGCTCGTACATTTTATATTAATCGAGTCTTGTACACGTTATACAGCGACCAGGTTAATATAAAATGTACGAGCGGTCCTAAAAAAAAAAAAAAAAAAAAAAAAAAAAAAATGTCGATGAAAATGGAAACGAACGGGCGTCAAATAACTCGTCTGTAGGAAAATTGTCGACGAATTCACGTAGGCATTACCTATAAAACGCCGTCGTCGGTTGCCGGGAAAACGGAATTTTTCGACGAAAAGTGCAATATATTTTTGTCGCATCGCACTTTTATTGAACAAACAAATAACATGTCGACGGGCGTTTCGGGGAAAAAAACTATCGGTAAACAGAACGTGCAGACATGATATGTATTTATTTGCAACGCCTCCGTGGAGTTTAAAGTTTTTATTTTTTTTTGGTTTTTCCCCGACGAACGAAAACATCACGGGAAATTCGATTTTGCGTCGCGATATTTCGTGTTGCAATTATTGTGTATATTGTTGAGGGGGCGATGTTTATTCCGCGGTAATAAACCGGCGAGTTCAATTTAAATTATCTACGAAGATTTCTTCAATGTGATCTCGAACCAATTGACAACCGTTTCGTAATACTTTCAAATATGTGACTTTCTACGTAGATTTTCCGGCGTTCGAAAAAGAAACGTATTATTTTTATTTTCGAAAAAAACGTTGCACGAATAATTTCGGATTTAATATATGGGTACCGAATTGTCCGCGTACGTAAGTATTGTGAAATCATTATATTTTTCGAAATCCCGAAATTCCGTGCACGAAATGTCGAATTACGTACCTTTTATTTTTTTAGAGAAAGGTTTTTTTATTTTTTTTTTACGTTACTCTTGCTTTAGTAGTTATTGTTTGACTCGAATTTCGGGCAAACGACACGGCAAATTCTTGTTTACAGAGCATCACACTGCGCAGTGCACACAGCGACCTCGGGACGTTTCGCCCGGCGGTTTATTCGGTTATTATTATTATTCGAGAGATTCCGGTATATATATAGACGTTCGAGAGACGCGTTCACGGCAAAGTTTCGTCCCGAATATTCGCGGAAACCCCAGAGTCGTATTTAATATCGCGACGTCGTCCGTTATGACGGACGCGGGCCCGACAATTCCTGTGTAGGAAATTTCCCGTCTTTGTCGACCCCGAATCCGGCGGGCCCGTCGAGTCCCGTGATATCACCTCCCCGCCAGTCGAATTTATCATAATGTCGCCTTGACAATCCGTCGCCGAATCTCGCCCGTCACTCTGTCAAACCCTCTAAACGCGTGCGTATAAGTTCGACCGGCGATACGCGTATTATAATTATTACCTATAGAAAAATACTCGTTTCTCCCCGGGTGATGAAAAATAAAATCCAGATCCAGATATACCGACTTCGGAACATACAAATCTCGTCCGAATTCCCGACCGTGACATCGCGGTTCCGAGGAAGTTACAACGTCACACGTGTAAACACCTACATAACCTTTAGTGGCCAAGAAAAATCCACGTCCGGTAGATCGCGTTTTGACGTAGAAAAATCGATAATCTACTGTGATGTGTAGACGGGCCGTCAATTCGTCGCAGACGTTAAATTCGTACAGATATTGAATTCAAATTTTAATTTAGTTGGTATTTTTCGGAGGGAATGGGGTTCGCGTGTATCTTTTCGCCCGGGGCGAAGTAATATTTGACCGCCTGTACGGTTCGCCTTTCGAACGTGACCTTTAGAACTTTACTGACACGATAACGGCGATACCGCGTGCCTTTTCGAACGCGATTTTGATATTAATTTAACGGAATGCCTATATATGCGAGGAAAAGAATAAATAATTTTCAATGTCCTATACACAATACAATACACGGTCGTTTAATAAATATTTTAGTGCTCGAAACGCATTCCCGGCCCCGGGGAAGACGTTATTAATTTATTATGTACGGTCGGCCGTAAAAAAAACAAAGACTCGAAATATTCGCTTACGGTAATCGCGTACAATTATATCGCGACGGGATCCGCGAACAAAATAAAATCGTGTTTTTTATTATGAGTGCGCCTCGCAACACTTGTGTTTAAGAGTACGCCCGCCCGTTATGTACGGTCGGAAATTTTCCCGGGTTTTCTACACGCGCCGCGTATACACCTCCTAGTAAGTAAATCAAAATCGTGCGCCGCGTTTATCGGCACCCGGCGACAATAATATCGGGGCGGGCGTGTACCCGCCCGCATAGCCCGTATAAGCTATGCATATTGCGCGTCCGTTAATAACGATAACAATAATTATTGTATTATATTCTTTCGCGCCTAAGCGACGTCGACACGTCATATTCGCAAAGTCCGTTAAATTTTAAGTGCTGATCCCGTCCGTTAATGGGCTCGCGCCATTTTAAATTTTCTCCGACCCGAACGCGACGACAGCCATTAGTAGCGATAGAGTCGCCGGCAGTTGCCGTAATAATAAATAATCCGATTATACGGCAAACAAGTAAGTACACAGTATACCTATAATACAAGTTATACACCTAGGTGTATACGACAACAGGTGTTGATCATAACTCAACGAGAGGATTTCGCGTATTTTGTCACGATGCGCGCGCGTGTTATAATAATTTTAAACGGGTCAACCGGCTGGTGCTGTGAGAGGGGGGGGGGAAGGGAGGGAGCATAACGTTTTCGTATTTTCGTGCAGCATACCACCGAATACTGCGCAGCTCGGTTTTTTTCGTTGACGTTCATAAATTAAATTTTCGATTTTTTTTTTTTTTTTTTTTCACCGGCCCTATTCCATTTTTCTCGTCCCACCGTTCCCCGCGGCATTTGAAAAATAACACACGCGCCGATAAATATCGCAGACCGGTTATTGTTAAGGGTCTAATCTCTCGATATTTACTCATTCGGTTTTTTGTTGTTTTTACAAAACGTTGTGTAGGTACTTTTTTTGTACAATCGAGTGTACAATATACAGCTCGACGGATAAATAAACAAAGTAATTTTTTGTAATTATCGTCAACAAATACCCTGCAGACGATATAAGTGCCCGCCGGGGAAATGCCGGTTAGCGATTCTTTTCGCTCGCCATCGCGAACATACATTATATTATTATAGCTAGTACGTTCGATTCTAAAAACATCAAGAATATCGTACGCACGTTTAAAACTTATAAAAAAAACGCGTACAAAAAATTATTTATTACACCTTCGTTTATATAATAATAATAATTAGTGTTGAAAAAACTCGACAGAATATATATATATATATATATATTTTTTTTTTTGGATTTTATTGTTTCTGCGAACATAATATTAATATCTTCGGATTTATCATTATCATTAAATTGTTCGGATCGTAAGATAATATGATATTTTATTGTATTAGAAACCGAGTCCGTAGTTCGTACTCTACAGGAAATTAATGAACTGCGTTATACTCAGAATATTTCGAAATCGCTTTTTAATTACAGTAAGGGAATTGGAAAATAATATTATATTTCCAACGAAACGTCTGTGTTTACCTATCTAATACTCATGGTATACGTTATTAAATGGAACATGATCAGAAAAACCGTATAAAATATATAGTAAGTATTCTATATACAAACACCATAACAATGGATATCAGCAGACTTTTTCCGAGAGGAAAGGGGCGAAAGTAATCTAAAAAAAAAAAAAATGACGATTTTTAATTGTCCACGCGTATTCATGCGTTTCAGACGGAATAAAAACACAAGAAGGGTGCAATGTTCATTCTCCTAAAGAGCCGTCTTTAAGATTTGCAAGATCCGGAGCGGAGGTTAAAATATTTTCATATTTTATTATATTATAATTCGAATTTTTTTTTAGAACACAAGGCCCCAAATCTAGGTACCTATAACGCGCGAGGCCCAGTGCCTGGAATCTGTATCCTGCCCGTCCCCCTACGGACGACTCTGCCTAATATTCTTCGAGCCCAAAACAGTATGAGAGAATTATGTTGAAAAATACGTTCTAGGATAACGAGGACGGGTGCAGCCACTGTCATAGGTAAATCAATGTATACCTGTAAACACCGATAAATCATTGCTTACGAAAAAACGATTTCAGTTGACAGTGATAATTTGTCAACAATATATATATTTATCATATTGTAGTAAAATAATGAAATAGGCTTCCTATATTTTTTTTAATAATATTTCTTTAATGTTGCGCCGATTTTCCTAGTTTTCTTACGTTTTTCCCGGTTTTTCACATTTGCCTGGAAAACTCTTGGGAAAATCGAAAAATTACATGTTTAAAGTATCTCCCCAGTCAGATTTCATTTTAAAAACTTTGCTACCATTATAAATTAGAGAAAGTTTTCTGGTAGAAAAGTTGCGCACAGATAAAAAAAGAAAAAAAAACATCTTTGTAAAACCATAAGTTTCTTCGATCCATTCAGAATCTAAATATCAAAACGATAATTTTAGTGTTCACACAACTGTACAACTGCACGAACTGCAATGGCCATTTTTATCTAACAAACCGACAAAATAAATACAAAGTAATCCCTACTCGGTGACTTTTGAAAGTCCGTTTGCACTTTTTTGACCGACGAAGAATATTGCATTCGTTGAAATGATAATAAAACCATTCATGTTTTATTTCTATTTAAAATGTTAGGAGGCGTCGTAAAAATATCGGAATAAAACGAAAACACGAATGTCCGCACTAATGTTATTATATAGATATAGACACACAATATAATATCATCGTCTCTCCTATGCGTATCGGGGGGAAAAAAGTCGATTTAACCTTTAAAAAACTGATAAAAAATTAAGTATCTACCTACATAACTACATACCTATACCGACGAGGCGACGAATCAAAAGAATTTCTTCGGGTTCCGGCCAAATTGGATAACGGAACGAGAAATAACAGAATTTTCGCGTGTCCGAATAAAAGGACTTTTGGTGTTTCGTCAAAAGACTATTTCGTACTACAATACCATACACAACACCGAGCGTAGGTACCCTACTTATTTAGAAGTTTGCTGAACATGACTTACCTCTCTAAAATCTTTTTCGTGCTTTTGTAGAGTTCATAAACGTCGTTTATTCTTAATCAGGTTATTCGCGTGTACTTTTAATGTTTAATATTTTTACCTCGGCTTTAACCATGTTTCAAAATTTGTCCAATAACACGTCACGTTGATTCGCATTAAATTATCATCAAACTAAAGTTCATAATTTTAAAGTTTAGACAGTGTATTACTTATTTTAACGAGGAAAACAATTTACTATGTAAAAGTATTTTTATCTTAAAAAATTGCTCCTGTTCTTTTTTAATTCTAAACCTTTTTTCTGATCACGCATTGATGCGTATCGAAAATTTTGAGGAAATTATTAACATTAAATATTAATATAAAATTTTAAATCGTATAAAATTAATGTATTATCTTTATTTTAATATTGAATTATAAAGCATCGACTTTTAAAAAACGAGAAATGACAAAAACAAATTGTTTTTCATTTTTATAATATTATATTTACAGACATTATATTGCAATTGTTGCGCTATATAGTAACAATAAATTTGTATACCGTAATAATATTTAAATAGATTGAAAAACAACAAAACCGCACTAAATTAAAACTTTTTCGTAGTTAGATACAAATTCATAATATAGAAATTCGTGTTTTTCTTTGTTCCCCGTTACCTTTTGAAACAAGCATCTTAATTTTTAGATTATCTTTATATCCGGTCACTGATTTTTATATCTTACGGGTTATTCAGTAATATGTTTAGTTGAGCTATGAATTCTATAATATTATTAATTTGATTTTTTTTATATAATGCAATATAATATAATTAAAATTTTAAAATTTGATAACTTCCCACCGATTGAAATGAAACGAAAATATTAATTTTGAAAATAATTAGTAGTTATTATTTCCATTTTTTATTTAATTACTCAAAATTATGTTTACGTATGAACGGTATTATATTAAAATTTACGTACCTAACCGGATATTTTCGGATTTGTCTAATCAAATGAAAAATAATAACACTCGTAGACAGCAGAACTCCGTCACTAAAAAGTCAAATTTTCGCCGGTCTATTTTGTATTATGGACAGTGGTACATACGGACGGAGGTTAGGGTGTCAAAACCCCCTTCTAAAATTTTTTTTACTATATTTTTGGAAATCAAGTTTTACATTCAACAACATTATATCTTTACTACTGAATATTCAATTTCATCAAAAATCATTTATTCAGTAATAATATAGTGATAGTACTGTACTGATAATATGTGCTATCCTCTCTCAAAGAAATTATTATAAAAAATAAACTATTCCAGAAAAAAATTCTGCGCGCGCTACTGATTATGTTCTTTTTAAAACGATAAGTAACCGAATACGGTCAAATATTAAAAACTATATTAATATACACTATCAAGAAAAAAAAATTGAATTGTTATATTTAAGCATAAAAATGATGGTAACCAAAATAGAAAACCCCAAAAAGCACATCGTTAACGACTAATGCGGCAAATATACGAAATTACATCTCTCCGTCATCGTTGGAGGGGAAGGATATGTAGAAATGTTGAAAGTTAAAAAAACACCCATCTCTCTTTGTGAGACGACTAAAATATACGCGGAAATTAATTTTAACATAATGTAACCAAACTTTTATCATATCGATCTGCCTGTACATAAAAAAAACAACTCTAATTCCCGAATTTGAGCGCATTCGGTCCAGATTTGGACGGCCGCGGCTAGTCTAAAAATAGTGCGAATGGAGGGATATTATATAATTATATCGGACACAATTAAGTACAATAATATTATTTTAATGAAAAGATATTATAATATATTATACGCGAAGGATAAGCGATTTTCTGTCGAGTCGGGCACATCACGAAATCCACCACAAAAAAAAAAAAAACTTTTTATTATTATAGTTTTATCGGTTTATTGCTTTATATCTATCCGAAATTATCGAACCGTTCACAAACAATCGATTCGGTCAAATTATTCTCCACACCTCACACTGCGGCCTTATATAAACTTCATGATAATATTGACTCCTCGATAAATTTGATATGTCCGTCGGAAAATCGCCGTTCTGTATGTTGTGTATGGTGAGCCGCGCGAGTATAATCGTAATATTGTATAGATGATTTTTGTCCGGTTTATTATTGTTTATTATTATTATTATTTTTTTTTTGAAGAAGAAGAAGAAGAAGAATTCACATTACTTTTTCGCCGTATACCCGTTGTCAAAACGCAACTGATACATCGGACAACACGCGTCAATTGTTCTGTATATCCGCAATGTTCGATTCTCGTAAAAACACGTACCTATTTATATCCCAGAACACACGCGCAAGACGTATTTGACATTTCGCAGTGGCATTATTGTATACCCGTTGTACCGACAAACCGACGTAGGTATATGTATGTATATTATATATTAACGAAAAATGTGTGTTTCATATTATTTCGTTCGAATTTATGATACGATACGCGATGTAGAGACATATGGCACGTCTGTACATAATATTATATTATACTCTGCCGGTATTGTATAGGTAACGATATTATATTGCTATAAATCGTACGCGCCTTTATTCGAAAAGTCGCGAAAATGTTATTATTTTTCTTTTCCCCTGCCGGCAAATACGAAAATCGAAATACCGCCGTTGACAGATTTACCCCTAGAAATTATTCGAAAAAAAAAACCGGATATTATTATCTAGACTCATACTTCTCACCGTAGCGTTGACATTATCGCTGTACATATTTTAATCGTATTCTATTCTGAGGGCAGCGAGAAATGTAACGGTTATATATTATTATTTCGATGTGTGCGGTTTTGTGTCCGTGAACAACTTTTCCACAGTAAATCTCGCTTAATTACGAGCAAAACAAGACCAAGACTAAGGTAATCTTGGTTACCGACATGAGTATTGGTTTTGGTCTTCCACTTCAAGTCTTGGTCTTGGTTAGACTGCTAGACTCTTACAGTCTTGCTTTTTCTTACAATTTAGTTTTTGTATTTATTTTTTTTTTTTTAAATTTAATATCAAATATTTAGTCTGCGTAAAAATCTGGATGTTTCAAATGTGGACGTTAAAAAAATGGACTGTAATTGTTTGAAATTGTAAATCATTATATTTAAGGAGGTTTTAATCGGTCATTTTCTAAAGAGTAAGAATTAGGCAAATTATGGAAAGGCCTCCGGATCATATGTCGATGTATGTGTAATTTTGCTTTAATATATGTGCGTATATTTAGCTGACTGCTATTAGACTCAATATGTATTGTGTACTATCGTTTTACCTGACCTACCTTTATAAATCGTAAACAATCAATTATATGATCCAGTTTTTTACCATTCAGATTTTATGGATTCCAGAATGTAAAATACCAGATTTATCATGTCTAAAATCGTACGGATTTTTAGATATTTAATTTCAAATTTTATGCTGTCCAGATTTATATAGCCCAGAATTTCACATTTCGAATTTTTTTGCGCTCCCCAAATTTTAATTAGTCATTTGGCTATAAATATTCGTTAGTAATAATACTTTCTTTTCGTATTAAATGTGTTTTTGGGAGAAAAAAATTATGCAAGACTGCAAAGCCATGATATTTACGATTTTCGTCAAATATCGATTTTAAATTTATTATAGAAAAATTACTGCATAAAACTAAATTTTTGTTCAACCACAGACTTATAATGAACATTCTGTTGAATTGTCAAAAATGTCTGTTTGGTCTAACAATTTTATCCGCAAAATATTTACCAAATAAAAAGACGTAAAAACTCGCAAAATTAAAATGGCTAAAAAGTTTTAAAATAACATAATAAAATGTTTTACCACATCTAGAAAAAGCAAGTATATGATTTCAGTCAAAATCTCAAATCTCTCAGAAAAACAAAATTTAAAATATTAAAAGCAATATTTTAGTAAATTTTCATATTCTTTCTACGGGTTTTTTGGTTTTCTCAATTATTTTAAATAACTGCAAAGTAAATCAAACAACGACTTTATTACTTGCTAACTAACTTAAAAATTCAACAAAAAAAGGACTCTTGTGGTTTATCTTTTGGAGCAATATTTCCGGTAAAAAACATAATATAAGCCGTAGAAATTTAAAATAAAGGAATCGTAACGCCGTAAATTTATCAGTTTTCATTATTTTTCCAGGTTTCCCCGGTTCTCATTAAAACCCTTAAGGAAATCCGAAAATAATCTCCTCAGCGCACCTATGAGATACAATTTCCTTTCAGAAAAGGTGCTACACTTGATATATTAATATATCGGAGCGAGATTACTGGTAGAAAAGTTGCTCACAAACAAAAAAAACACACATAGTAAAACAATGGCTGATACCACTCTGCACGTCGAATCTAAAAAAAAAAATAATAGTAAAAAGTTCATTTTCAAATAGATGCCAGCCGTATATAAATTTAAGTATCGTTGGCGTTATTTAAAAAAAAAAAAAGTTATTTTATCGAAATAGTTAAATATATTTCGTTTAAACACTTTATTTGTAATACAAACAATACAAGTTTTTCCTTTTTTTTAATGTTATATTACCGATCGCAAATGCTATAATAAATTGTATTGATGTTATTCAGTTTTTGTTTTGTTTTTGTCGTTTGTATTCATAATTAAAAGTGTCTTTTTTTTTAAACTATGACAACTTTTATAGCTATGCAAAGGTCAAAGCGAATTGCAATTTTTTTAATTTAGTTATTAAATAAATGTATTTCACGCAAATAATTTGCACATAGTTATTCGATTGGCACGCGTACCAAAAAGCTTTTTACATTAACTATCAAATATACAAAATAAAAATGAAATTTTATTATGAAATTTTATCCTTGTATATTTTTATATAGATCTTTTTTTTGGAGGAACAAAAACAATTTTTTTTCCGTTCCGTTTATCTTAGATACCTACATTTTAATCATTTTTAAACACAACATTGTTAAATACAAAATTTTTATAATTTTTCTATGACATTTTATGTATCAGATTTATTATTATTTACGAACATTTGTGATCCGAGAACTAAATATTTATTTTTAGAATATGTTTTTTCTTTATAATATATATATATTGACAATTATAATACTTATGTACCTATTTTCGTCTATAAAAAACAGCATGTACCTGTACTAAATTACTAATGCTTCAATCGTACCTAATAAGAGTAAATCCTAAACGTTTTTCAACGTTTTTATTAATAGGTTTTAATATTACATAAATGTTATCTCAAGGTCTCCTGTGAAGTACATTGATGGTTACGCGTGTTAGGATGGAGTCGCGAATATGTTCAAATGTAATAAAAAAAATTTAAAAAATACATACAAATTAATTATTATTAATTTTATTTGAGGAACAAAATAAATTCCCTCTGTCCGGGACGACACAAGGAACTTGTCGCTTTCTGCGATCACAGTATACGAGCCTGCAGTAATTGTTTACATTTTAATAAAAACGTAAACGAATCCCGTTTTAATAGGAACTCTCCGAACGCTGCGTTTCCGTGTACGGAAAATCTGAAATAATCGCACGAATTATCCGCGAAAATAAAATTATAAATGCGTAGTAATAATTCCCGTTTGAATATATTCAAATCGCATTAATCTGAAATCGGATTTGCCGCGGCGGCGGCAACGGCGTCGGCATATACCGTAACGCAATTTGGAGAACGTCAATTAGATGAATTATTCGACGTTTCGGGCGTCTATCGAAAATCGAGACGTATAACGCGGCTGACGACTTAAATGCGAAAAATCTAGTGACGAAAATCGTCACGTAAAATATTATAATAGTTCACCGCCGACTGGAACTCGATTATTCCGAACGGCGGTCGTTTGCGAAAAAAAACGCGCGGACATTATAACAACACTATACAATACTCGACGGTATCTTACCGGTGTCGGATAGGCGGCTACGTGCGCGGCGAAGACCGCCAAGGCGACGACGATGCAAGAGGAACGGACGGCCATCTCGGCGGTGGTGTCGACCGTGCGTTTGTTGTCGGTGCTCCGACGGATTGAACTTGCGGACGACCGGACGGTGCCGGACGAAATGTTTCGTATGTGCGGAGGACGGAACGCCGGGGGAAAAAAAATACTCGGGCTGCGGGCTGCGGACTGCGAGCGCGAAGACTTTTTCGGGAGCGCGGGCGCCTGGCTCGAGCGATGTGCGAGTCCGTCTGCCGTACGGTACCCGGGGACGCGGAGACTGGTGAGCGGGCCGCTGACGGGGACGAGACGAACGAACGGTTATTATGCTTTGTGACGGGATATAATTGTTGTGGCTGCTGCAGTGAACGCGTGCGTTTGGTTTAGGCGTATACACGGCCGTCGACCAGATATTAATGAAGGCACCCGAAACGCCGGGGCCCGTATATATACCCGCGGGGCGATGCGTGATGTGCTGTACGCGCGCGACTCCGCCTACGCCGCCGTCCGCCGACCCTCGGCGCGCGCGGCTACGACGACGCGGCGGTGGCGGCGGCGGCGGCGGCGGCGACAACGGCGCTCGCCACCCCGTCACGTCCGCGTATTACCTATACGCGCGCGGTTGCTGTAATACAATATACGATTATATCGTACAATTTTCTCGCCCACCCCTCGCCGATATATCTTGCCGCCGCCACCTGGACTCGTCCCTCACCCCGTAAATTTGAGGACGTTCATTTTCGCGGACCCCCTCGCCGCCGCCCCGCTTCCGTCGCGTGTCGTCCGCTTATTATCGCGCGCGCGGACAAGAGCTGTCGTCGCGCCTAATTACCCTGGGTTATAAATGCGTATAAGTTGTCGAAAAAAAAACCAATATCAAAAAAATAAAAATGGGAGCTGTTGTAGGTGAGAAGTTGGCAAGAAGTAGGAAACATAAGGTTATTTCATTTATATCTGTAAGCAACGAAAAACCATCGCTTGACGAAGGACGATTCCGAGCACAATTCGGTAATACATAATTTAAAGGGCCGTTTTAAAGGTTCTTTTTTTTTTGCGATTTTCGTTTAAATTTGATTTCAAAGCGCTTATTAAAATAAAAGAAAATATCCGATGATTTAGAAAATTTTACAACATCTAGGTAAGTCCAATATAAGTATTATTACTAAGTTTCAAGTCTTTACGTGTATTTATAACCGAATTACAGCAAAAAAACTCCCAAACATTAAAATTCCTTAAAAACTCAAAAGTGACTCAAAAATGTTGGCAATAATACCATAAGAAAGTATATCAAAAAGGCAACAAAAAAGATATCTTTTGATTTTTCGATTAAATCTTTTTTTCAGGTAGAAAACGTCGTCCGTGTTTTTATAAAACAATAAAATCTTGAAATTATATATTTTCCTACGTTTTTTCCTACTTGAGTGCTTTTAGTTAAAAAATAACGTCGAAAATCAAAAAATGATGTCTTTTTAAGAACAACTTGGGCTTTCAAAAAAGTTGCTAGACGTAAAAATCGGAGCAAGTTTACTAGGAAAAAACGTGTTCACAGACTAGAAGAAAGAAAGAAGAAAGAAAGAAAAAATAATAAATAATAAATATCTTAGTAAAACCAATAGCTCTCTCGCTACGCTCGGAATCTAAATAAATCAGTGATGTAAAAAGGTCAGAGACAGACAGAACAATTTTTGCATTTACCTGTATAAAGATGAATTTAATTTTTATCATGAGCCCTCTCGGAGCTGTATGTGTGTTTGTGTGTATGGAGGGAGAGGAAGGGATGGAACCGAGATGGTTGTGGTGGTAATAATGAAATATGAAATTGTGTCGTTAAAAATTTAAGCTGAGTCTGCCACTGTCGATACGTATGAAAACAGTGGCGATAACGTATATTGTCGAGGAAATAATCCACTCGTTTTAACACTTTATAAAATTACATTTGTTGAAAAAAAAGTTTGTTTTTTTTCTTTAAGGTTTTTGAAGAGATTTTAAAGGTTAAAGGTCCCGGTGAGTTTAAAGGATAAAGTGTCGCGGGATTGCGATCTGTACGTTTTTGACGGTCTATTAGGCGTACCTGAAATGGCTTACACAGGTATAAGTAATCGTTTTTTTTTTTTTACATATTTTTCTTCGAAATTTATTTGTTTGTTCTACTCGGACCATATAATTATTGAAAACAGTAAGTTTAAATACTGAACAATTTGCAGCCTTTCTCTCAATAGTAATCATAATTTAAAAGTTCATGTTCGGAAATCTAGTAGTTTCAAAATCGTTTTGGTTCGACTTATGTATACCAATTCGCGAAACTATGTAACTATGTAGTTGCATTTTGTAATCCAATTGACTTATTGCTTACAATGTCCGTTTACGTTTTTTTTTTTTTAACCTAACAAAAAAAAAGTTTATTTGTGAAACATGCGTTAACCGAATGCGTTTTCCGCGTCATTAACCAAAAATATATACGAGTAGATATAAAGGGCTGAGGAAGATGATGATAATAATTCCTCATCGAGACTTCGCATTTCTCTTTAATATTTATAAACGAATATTACGTAAACAACAATAATTGATAAGAAACTATACCAACCACTCCCCGTGGCAAAATCGTTTGACCATCACTGGTTAAGTTTATTAGGTGCGTAACATAAAAAAAACGTCAAAAAATGTAAAAACTTCAACCCGCAAAGTCGTTATGCCGGGCATTAATAGTAATACCTACTCTTCTATACGATATATTGATACTGATATTAATATTCAATTTGGTTCGTGTTACGCGGATCGTATTGCTCCGATTCAATCAAACGTCACAACGTATGATTATTACACTGAAATGTTTGACGTTCATCAAATCGAACCCTGTGTACACATAAATTACATCAGTAATTTACAAAATATCCTAATTTGATGATTAGTGTAGGTATATCAAAGTTATTAAGAACCGGAATTTACGTATTTGACCGTATGTACACATTATATTATATACGTGTATAGTTAGACGGCCGGATCCGATAGCCCTTGTTTTTGTATTTTTGTTTTGCTCTACAATCGCGCATAATCATTTTTTTATTTTTATGAACATTTTTCTACTTTAAAAAATAAATCAAAAATTCCGATTGAGAAATACAATCTCTGTTTTATTTATTATTATTTTGCGTATGACTGCAGTCGGCTAATAGATAGCCAGTGTGACAATATAGCTAATAATCTAACAACTAAATAATATATTACATCAAAAAATAATAATAGGATTGAATTAAATAGCAAGTACATTTTTCGGATAGAATGGGTAATATAAACGTAATATTATGATGTACTATTGATAATAGAGGCGATAAGAGTAACATCATAGTATATTATGTGATAACAATTATTATAAAGTAAGTTTGGTTCCAAATAAATAAAAATGATATATAAAGTAACTTTAAAATTCTTATATTCTACATTTTAAAGCATTAATATATACTTATACTTAGATATTTTTATTTTATTTCTGAATCCTCATTTGAGTAATTCTTTTCTAATAATAGTAAAATCTTAGTTTGTATAATCTTGTAAGTACCGACTCATATTTTAATATTATATGTGTTTTAATGGGACTCGTTTGGAATCAAATTATCCAATTATTACTGATGAACAGACTGACAAGAAAAGCATGACGTAGTTACTGATAGCCTCTATTGATAACTCAATGGAAGTCTGAGTATGTTGGTTAACAGTCATAAGCAAAACCGTGTCTTCAGATCCGTTAACAATATCTGCCATTACGTATCTACGTCTGTCTCGGATCCACGATGAACCTACAATTATACTATCAGACTCGGTGTCGGCACGTGTTTTAACGATATGATTCACTATCGCACGGGCAGGCGGGAAATTATATCGTTTCCCGTTTGTGTAAGAGGATGCTGCATCGGCCTCGATCCGATCTGGCTTTATTAAAGGTCGTTCGCGTAGCCCATGCAAGGTCGAACCCGGAAACTTTTGACACAGGTCAACCAACGAGAAGTTTTGTATGTTATCTCGACTCTTTCCGAGGGGTTTTCTGCTCTAACACCAATTGGAAAATTTTATTTCGTTTTGCCCGTGTCAATACACATTCTATTTTTAACTGCGAGCACTGAGCAGTATATATTATAATATAATATGACATGCGCGTATACGCCAATCTTATCTATCTGTTCGTATACGAGTTTTTTTTATTCCTAGATGAATATTTCACGTCTCCCCGTCGGTTTTGCAGTCACTGTCACGTAATAAATTAACGTTTTTAATACCACCTGTGTGACACATCGATAACGTGCACCTACACGCAGCGGAGAACACACGTGAAACTAAATCCCTTTTGACGGCGGACTTTTCATCGTGCATTATCGTTCCCGTCAGTTTTTTACACATATGTACCCGGAGGCGCCAAACACACACACACGCGTGCGTTGCATGCTTAAGTCTCTAGTACACGGATTAAATCGTCAGCGGCTTTTGAACGGAAAATTAATTTGGCTGTCTTCCGCGTCCGGTCGCGTCCGGAAACAACGCTAATAACGCTAATAACAATACCGTGGTCGTTACAGATACCTGCCACAAAAAAAAACAAACATATTCTATACTGTTAACGAGTGTACCACAGTTGCAGAGGTAAGGTTAGGTTAGGTTAGGTAGAGTTATTAGAGTTATTAGATCGATTGAGATGACGGCACGGATGGACATTATGTCGAAAGGAAAAGAAACGACGAGATAGTCTAGACGATAGCCGGTAATATACGGAAGTACATAATATCTAGACGAAAGCTAGAGAAAAAGTAAGCCGGAGAAAAAGTGGCTAAAGGTATTATGGGAATTAAGGAACGAAGTACGAGAGCAAAAGAGTAAACGACGTTGGACGAGGAAATGCGGAGGAAAAAAATTAATACACTTTAGCTGACCGCGATGACTCACTACAGGCTTGCATGAAATAAAACCGAAAGGGAGAGAAATATTAAATGCCCCTTGAAAGCGGTTAATAAAATAATGATATCCGAAAATAATATTCAGAAAACAAACATTTATTGTACTTAAAAATGTTAAAAACGAACACTGGGGGCCACGAATTCCCAAGCCGTTCCGACCATTGCCGTCAGTTAATTGTATCGCATTTATTATTAATATGATATCGTACAGGGTGACTCGAGAAAATCTGCGGTTTAAATGGTATTATTCTGCGTCCACCGAAATTCCGTGAGTATATCATTCGCATTACGACAAATAATTATCATACATCGTAGGACGCGAGAAGCCCTTCTTGTTTACGGGCGGTTTCCTACGAAATTATCCGTTAAAATCTTTCGTTAAAAAAACATTAATTCACAGGTGATATTATTATTGAATAACATATTGTGTGATGCTTCTTCGTAAAAAGAAAAATAGACGGACATACTTCGCACGTAGT